ATCAAATTATCACATGGTTTCGAAATATCTCAATTACTAGCATAAATCAACAATTTGGCTGCTTTAAGACCGCAAAAGAGGTATGGGACCACTTGTTAATCGCTATACATCATTTGATTTGTCCAATTAGTTTCAATTGCATAAAAATCTCAATGTCTTGAAGCAAGAAAAGGATCAGCCCCTATATGAGTTTTTGGCTAAGATTGAGTCTATCTGGGATCAATTAGCCTACTCGAAACTTAGTTTCAAGAATGAGGAAGATGCATAGGCTTTCTTTCGATACTGCGATCAGCTTTGTCTTACTCAATTCTTATGTTTCTCATGGATGATTTTGAGTCTATTTGAGTATCCCTACTTCACCAAAGTCCACTTCCAACTCTTGAGGATGCTCTCCCTCGACTTTGCTCTGAAGAAACTCGATTGGGACTTTTACAACATACTCCTGAAATGGTTTTTGCTGCACCAGAAGATCCTTTAAATCTTATCATTGTTACCCTCAATCTGATCACTCCTTTGATCAATGTCCCAATATTGAGTGCCGAACATGTCAAAAGAAGGGACATATAGTGGCAAATTGTCCTACGATGTTCTGTCGTTACTGCAAAAAGACTGGGCGTCTTATTGATCGATGCCCTACTCGTCCTCTCAGGTCTGATCAGGAAAGATCAACAAGGCCTAGTTCCTTTTCTAAACCTGCATTATCTACCACTGTTGCTGATTCTACCTTGAAATCTTTCACTACAAATCTTGAGGCTTTACTTCTCAAGTTTATCCATGATACTTCCAGTCCACCTGCTGCCTTTTCTACTTTCTTCTCCTCCTCATCGTTCTCGTCCTCCTTCTCCTCCTCTTCATCCCCACCAATGTCATCATCGTTGGCATCCTCCTCCTCTTCATCCCCCGGCTGCCCTCCCCTTTGGCACCTCTAGCTTCCTGATGCGCCTCTTGATGTTCAACCTCCTAATGCGCCTGTCCATGTTCAGCCTCCTCATACACAGCTTCATGATCGTCAACATCCTCAGTAAGTTTATCCCTGATACTTCCAGTCAGCTGCTGCCTTTTCTACTTCCTTCTCCTCCTCATCGTCCTCCTCCTCTTCTTCATCCCCACCACTGTCATCATTGCCGGCATCCTCCTCCTCTTCATCCCCACAGCTGTCGGCATCCCCTGCATCAGCCAGCGCCTCCCCCTTTGATGCCTCTCTAGCTTCCTGATGCGTCTCTTTATGTTCAGCTTCCTGATACGTCTGTCCATGTTCAGCCTCCTCATGCATAGTTTCATGATCGTCAACATCCTCAGTAAGTTTATCCCTGATACTTCCAGTCCACCTGTTGTCTTTTCTACTTCCTTCTCCTCCTCATCGTTTTTGTCCTCCTTCTCCTCCTCTTCATCTCCACCACTGTCATCATCACCGGCATCCTCCTCCTCTTCATCCCCACGGCTGCCGGCATCCCCTACATTAGCCGGCACCTCCCCCTGTCAAATTAATTCCAGATGAGTAAATATTCAATGAAAGGTTTATAGACATCCCTTTGAATCACTTGCGCGCCTTTGCGTGATAACTATATAGGTTTGCATTTTTCTTTTTTGCAAAGGAGCAAGAAAAGCAACGGCTATTGACTAAGGGGGATGATACAAATAGCACCGCTGATTAATTCTAGGATCTGGAACAAGATTGACCGATGCAAAAGTCAGTATTACTGCTATATCTTGCTTTTGTAGTGTATGATTACTATTATATTACTCATTCTGAATTTAGAGGTGAAAAATCATGGATTCTTGTAGCTTCTTCTTCTTCTTTTTGGGTCTTCAAGAATTAAAGTGCCACTTCAAACATTGAGTCAATTGTCATTCTCCCACTCGAGCTGTCCTCTTTTGATTCAAGGGGATCAGATTATGGAATGTGGGAGTCTTGTAGAAAATTGAAAATGTCATACTAAGTATTTAGGACTATATTAAAAGTTTACTTTAAGGTTGTTTTAAATTTGCTGATTACCTAATCCAATGTTTCGTATTAAGCTTTTTTTTTTTCCTTTTTTCCATATATATACTTTGGATTTTGCCCATTTACGGAACAAAAATGAGCCGGTTTAATTTTTTTTGTTTGTTTGATGGATTTATACAATTTAAATTTCTTTTTATGAAAATAATTATTTCAATTTTTTGGGATTTTCTAATAAAAAGTCATAAATATATTATAGGATTGTCATTTTTTTTAATTCAAATTGAGTGATCTCTTGGCTGATTTTTTATCTCCTAAACAACATATAGCATATAAAAATCAGTACCATTGAGGATTAAAATTTTGGTAATACACAATTTGTTTTCTAGAGTACGCTCTTTGTCATAGGGACTGAAGGTGAAATGCTGTTATTTTTTTAATATATCTTCAACATGACGTGGATTTTATTTTGGGTGAAAGGACAATTTTACTTATTGTAATATTAGAAAAAAGCATCAAACACCGTAATAAAATTTAGTATGCAAAAATACCTGTTATGATTTCAAAATAATCCTAAAATACTACTTCCGTTAACTTTACAAGATGGCCGTTTATTTTAAGTTGTGGGCCCCGCTATGTTGTCCGGGTGTCCTCCAGTATCTATATTTTTTTGTAATACCAGCCAGTCTCTCTCCTTTCTCACTCTCTCGCTCTCTCTCTATATATCACGGCTCCTGCGCAAGCTGATGGAGGGATGAAACTGAATCACCTTGGATACTTTTGATTTGTGACTTTAACTCCCTCTTATCCCTCTCTCTCCCCTTACATCACCACTCTTTTTAGCCCTCAATGTTTCGGCAACTCTTCAATGCCCCCATCACTCCCACTTGCTCTCCTTCTCCTTTTTTCCTCATTGATCATGATCTGCCTAAACACTCCTCCTCCTCCTCCTCCTCCTCCTCTTCTTCTGTCCCTTTCCTCTAGGAAGAAAAGCTCAATGTTCCCAAATTCAAACCCACACCAATCGCACCGACTAGGACAATGATGGTCTCGCACGTTCACTTCCCCAGTTCAACTCGATAAACATGAAGAATGAACAATGCTCATTCAAGATTGAGGCATGTTATCTCAGACGAAGCTTGCTTTTACAATGAAGCTATTTTCTCATTGTTCCAGTCATTCTTTCTTTTGAGCTCCTAGCTGGTGTGGGCGTAGCTGTCGAAAGAAAACTGGAAGAAGAGAAAGAGAGGAAGTGTATATTGGGTGATTCGGAGAAAGAATATAAATTATTAAAAAATTTATTAAAATAGTAAATATTATATGGCGACTAAATTAACACATGGGATAAAAGTTTTTGAGTTGTCATTTTTTTTATTGGACAAGTACAAGGAACAGAGTATACGTGGACAATAATGTGAGCCCCACAGCTAAAATTAACTGCACCCGGCTTAACATAACCGCAGTGGTATTTTTGATGTGTTTTGAAAAATTTATATGTCTTTTTGAATCATAAATTTTATTACGTTGTCTGGTACTCCTTTTTGATATTATAAGAGATAAATTTGTCCTTTCATTTTTTTTATTTTCCTTCTAAAAACTATGTTTCTTATAACTAGTAATAACTATGAGGTAGACAAAATGAATCTATTTCTAGAAGCATGAAAATTGAGAAAAATATTTATCAGATATGGCGGTTAAGTGCATTATTTCAGATGATGCAAAGTTCAGAAGGGGTTTTGCAGATTTTCCTTTTCGCATTGCCCCAAAAACCAAAAATTTTGCAGCACAACATTATATGCCCTTGATAAAATATTGTTCCTTCAACAAATCCACATTTCTTTCAACAGAATTAGTGCTTCGTCCAGCCAAGGACCTCGATAATAAGCAGAGATCATGGCATTCCAAGAGACAACGCTTCTCACAGGCATTTCATCGAACACAAGTTGTGAATAAACAATTTCAGAGCATCTGGAGTACATATCAATGAGAGCAGTTTGAATGAAAGCGTCTTCTTCATAGCCAAGTCTCAGTATACGACCATGAATCTTCGTTCCATCTTGAATAGAAGCAATATTTCCACAGGCCTTGAGGACCAGAGGATAAGTGAAGCTGTTACCAAGAACCCCACAGCGAGCCATGGAAGAGTATATCTTTAGCGTTTCTGAGAATAACCCATTGTTGGCGGAGGCTCGAATCAGAAGGTTCCATAAATACAGAGGCCTCTTGAAATTGGAAAGCGATGGAACACGCAATGACATTTACTATCTGAGCTTCTTGGCATAGTTCTCCCTTCTCAATATCAGGTCTGAGAAGCTGTATTCACAGCTTTATCTCATGCGGGAGAAGCAGGAACATGAAAATGAAGCAAATCCAGTTCTATGAATTTCTCTATTGCAGATGTTACAGGAGGATGAGGCCTTTTTCAATTTTAGAATTAATTCGTATCGCTTCTTGGGGGCTTCAAGAGACAAAAGTACTTGATTCTTACACTGCTCAAAACATAATTTTGAAGTTTCAAAGCCAAGTCTTTGATAAACGAAATCCGTTCAGGGGAAAACAGTGGGACGTAAAATTGAATCAAGCGTTAGTTATAGTGGGAGATACGAGATTGCCATGTTTATGTTACGTAAAAAATTATTGTGTTTATTGACAGGATCTTGCAGTATTTGCGTCTATTTGTGAAAATTTCACATTTGATAATCACCTGGAATTCTGCGAGACACGAAAAGGCTTAAAATTGTCCTCGGCGATCCTGTCTTTTGAACTACCTCTGTTGCCCAGCAAGAAAATTCAATAAGAATTGGATTGAGCAGAAAACAACTGAATTTTTCTTTCCAAAATTGTTCTTAAATTAAAGTTGAGTAGTTGAATTTTGTGCAAAAAAAATCATGTTGGGAGAGCTTCCCTCAATCAGGCTAAAAATGCATAGATTTAACTTAGTAGTACTCAATACTCTATATGTATGTATGTATGTATATGTATATAATCAATTGACATGCTTTTGAGAGCTTAAAAATCTAATTATACTAAAATTGCAGGAGCTTAAACTGGCTTAAAATTCAAATTAAATGATACACCCACATCTATTTCTGCATTTCCACATGAAACCAAATTTACATCTTAAATTCACGTCTCTTCTTCTCACATTTATTTAAAATAGTGATCAATGGTTTATCCTTAATCACTAGTAACATCTCATCTTATCCTTAACGACTGAGTCAATCTCTCAAGGGACTCAATACACTCATTTTTATTTTTTTTCTGTCCCACTTCTGGGAATCCTCAACGACCACAGGCACATCTAGGAAGTGCCATGATATTTGGGAGTAAGAACATACATCTTGCAAGCATGTGGGCCCAAATATGCTGAGATTTGCCCAGAAACATAAGATTCAGTTGAGTGCTGCTCAATCCATCATAAGAAATTATGAACACATAGAGCCATCTTAACATAATGAATAAGACTATATATGTACTTATAGCTTTCAAGCAAACAAACTCACAGCCCATAAATCTCTTGCATCGACGGTAGTTCCTGGTTTGAGGCCTATGTCAGACCAATACGCTGTAACTTTCGCTTTTGATGACCTCCTATTCCATAGGATCACTGCCACATTGTAATCATTCAAAGGACCAGCCCACACCTGTCACAATAAAAAGATCATCAGATATTGAGTGTTATATCATTTATACTCTCACCAATAATAACAGTTTGAATTAAATAGTTTGCAAGTTTCTATCTTTTTGAGTCATATTGTAGGTGGCACTTAAAAAAAATTTTTCAATAGGTGAACATGGAAAAAGAGAGACAATACTCCTCCGGCTCTACAGTGTAATTTATTTAGACTGAGTTAACCATGCTTTACATAAGCAAAAATAAGTTATATTGATGTTACATTATATATGCTATTTATTATTTATAAATAGTGTAGATTCTTGTCAAATCTAAATTTATGTATGGATTAATATTAAAATATTTGTTAGATATATTAAATCTCGCAATATTTTAGGAGTTATATTGATGTAAGTCAAAGTCAAGTTTTTTTTTTTTTATTTGGATAAGCCTGGATAAAGCGTCTATGTCTATTTTGCTTTCTTATTTGGAAAATTCGATGTCTAGATCCTCTTTGAAAATAACTAAAGTCTCTGTAGAGAACTTCGAAAAACTCTCTCTCTCTCTGTGTGTGTTTTTTTTTTGGTATTAGACTTTAGGAGAAAACACATGGGTGGGATGGACCAAAAACTTTAAATGTTAGGTTTGCACCATTTTCTCCACTCCAATTCTATTGAGTGCGTTTTTTTTTTTTTTTTTTAACTCAGACCCTTACACATTCCAACTGACCAGTGACATCAATGGCTTCCAAATTTCCCTCATCCTCATATAGATATCTCTTCTCTTTAAGCAATGACTAATGAAGCTACTCCTAAACATGGAAATTAATATAACAAAGGATGAAGGAAGGTGGAAGATGATGAGCATGAGAGTGAAAAACAGTAGTAGAAACAAGAAAGGTTACCCCATAGGAGGCGTACGACCAAGTCCATTGTCAAGCAAGAATCTTCTAAACTGATCTGAAGGGTTTCTGTTGAAAGGAGCAGAAGCAGATGAAGCACTAATTATTGCACTTAACAGCAGAATCAGCCTCAACAAGCTTCCCCTTGAATCTAATTCATCTTTTCTCATATACCCCATTTTTTTGTTTCCTTCTTTAACTACACTCTCAAGCTTGATCTTGAAACCTCCTACTTTATGGTTTCACTTGAATACCTATTTATATATAGGAGAAAGAGGGGGTAGGGTTTGCAGGCATAATGAGGCTTAGTGGTTGTTGATTGGTTTTCAAAAGTTTCAAAAACTATCAGATTAGGTTATCCGCATGTAATAAATTATTGGTTAATCTGTGTTTTTGAATTCCATACGCTACATTTTTTGTACTTTTCTTTATCTACATTATGATGTCAGTCCTCCTCACTTTTTCTTCTCCACAACTAGATGTTAATGGATAGCTACTTCATTCAACATCATCATTAATTTATCAATAACTTCGAAGTTTTTGCAGATGTTGGATTTAAATTATGTTTGATAATTGTGGGTGCTTGGTATTATTGAATTTGGATGAGAAGGGAAAGGCCAGAAATGCAGAAAAGACGCTTTTGTCCCCTATTAAACAAACTACACCATTTTTGGCTGGTCAATTCCCTGAACTGTAGGATGAGGTATATGAAGGAACTGATATCTGATTTATGGTGGTAGATCCAAAGTGTGATTTTAGGACTTCGGTGCAATGTGATGAAGATGGATTTGTTTTATTCGTGTCATTTCTTACGCTCGGCATCATACAACAGGTCAAACTCCATGAGACTGAGCTTCCAATGTTATTTGTTACTTTTGATGAGCAACACAACGTAACTACAAGCTTCTTTTTATTCAACAATATATTTGAATTAGTCTTTACTTCATCCAGTGACATCTGAGAAAAAATATGCTTTGTTCACATTATTATAAAAGTACCATGATTTTGGAAGGCAGCATCTGAAACAATGGCATACAGCCTGGCCAACGATTCAAATCTCAAACAACAAAAAATGTTCATAAATCTCTGAAGGAAAAAACGTAATCTTAAGCTGTTCCTATACATTTCTCTCAGAGGTTTAGACAAGATTATACAAGTCACAGGAATGTCGAGATCTGTTCAAGTTCATCTAATTATGATCACATATGATCCATTTTTCCTTAATTTGACCCTCATCAGTATTGTCACCTTCAAATCTAGATTATGGATATAGCCTTTTTTGCTGGCTTTAAGATAGGCCATTCAAATTAATTGCAGGGCATGCCCCGTTTGTTTCTTTGGATAATACTATACTAAAGAGGAATCTGTATCCTAACTTTCCCTAGCCGATGTCAGTTTTACAGATTCTTTGTCCCTTTCATCATATTGGCTTTGTATCTCTTTGATTCACTAATCAATTTGTGCTTGGCCTTTACCATTTCAATAGACTATGCCACTGACTATGTAAGTGTGCTCTGCATGTTCATGCTTGCTATGGCAACTGATGGTGTGTTTCCGATTGCTCTTGCAGCATAAAATTATTTGACTGTTAGAGATCAAATTTAATACATAACATATTAGTTCATGCAAGCAAATTGGCAGTCCAACTTGTACTTTGAATTGTACATTCTCTTTTGATGTAAATTCATGTTTGTTTCTCTATTACTTCTGGGAACATTGAACGGCAGCAACCACTTTAGTACTCTTCTCTGCCTCTGGAATTAGGATCTGGTTTTGGTGTGTGGAGTCAAATCTTGCAAGCATGTGATTCCAATTCAGCAGATATTTTCCCAGAAACTGATGATAGAGTTGAATGCTGCACAATTCACTACATGTAATCAAAATGATGGCCATCTTATGTACAATGAATTGTGAAGAACAGTATAAATTTTTAGTGTGTAACTCACAGTCCATAAGTCTCTTGCATCAACTACAGTCTCAGCTTTTAGGCCTATGTCAGACCAAGATGCAGTGACTGTTGCCTTTGATGAACTTCTATTCCATAAGATCACTGCCACCTTGTGATGACTCAACGGACCGGCCCAAACCTGTCACTTCACTTTCTTCTAAGTAGGTTGCACTTGGGGAAATTGGCACGTATAATCACAAAACATGAATGAATGTTCGCCAATAATTTTCTTATCCGAATACGCAAAAGCTCATTTGTCTTCAAGCGTGAAAAAACATATTCCTGATCAATTTAGTTATGTGATGAACTATTTCAATTCAAAGCTTGATTATAACCCCAATCAATATGCATGTGAGAAGAAACCCGTGAATTTTAGCTGGACTTTGGAAGATAGCTTTGCAGTGAAATTTGTAAAGCATAGACTGGCATAAGTGATAGATGTTGGGAATCTTTGTCCCAATGAAAAGAAAGACATTACGTCCAAATCATTATTACTTTTCACCTTTTTCCCCTGAACTCCTAGGTTATCTGCATATCCAGAAGATTACAAGTATGAGAGAATTTCTTTTTATGGAAGAGATAAGCAATGCTTCTGTCTGCCTAGAAAGCTAGCTGGCAGAGTTTTCTGTCCTGTATCCATGAGCCTTGGATTACAAGCAATAATTTCTTTTTATGGAAGAGATAAGCAATGCTTCTGTCTGCCTAGAAAGCTAGCTGGCAGAGTTTTTGTCCTGTACATGCCTTGGTTTACTGCAATAACTTCCTTGTTGCTTAGAATTCCATGAGTTATATTATCCATGGCTCGGATATCACATCCAATCAACAAAGGAGCCTTGTAAGATATACACAAAAAAATACTTAAAAATGTAGAATTCACTTCCTAGAAAGATTTTCTAATTGCGATAAATGACAGTGTTAGTATTATGTTTCCTTCTACCTTGACTAATGCCCATACGCTGAAATGAGCTTTATATTCCTCTGTTGTCATCCCTCCATTTCCCACTTCAAGCATATCAGGATCTGACACCAAATATGTGTGTTGATTATGTGTTAATAAATAGAAGCAAAAGTATTCTGACAGAGTCACAAATGATTGTTTGCTACGATTTTACTCTCACATTGTTTCAGAACATAAACCAAGTTGAGAGGAAGATATTACATCTGTTGGATTTTGGGCTTGGATCCGCCCTTGATGGGCCGAATTATTTGACTGGGTATAAAGAGAATATACTAGTTAAATATCTAAGCGATATTATTATATGTTTGATTTGGTCAAACACCCTGAATCATATCCAATCGGTTACAATATAAATCTGATTAGTTTATAATTAATTAATTAATTTATATTGTATAGATTAGATATATATTAAGTATATATATTTAGAATTAATTGTGATTGATTCTGGATTTGAATTCAAATATCATGATATTATGAGATAAGGATATATTTATATATCCTATCTCAGATTTTATCTGATAGGCTCAGTGGATATTTTATGGCTGGCCAAAATACCCTTGACAAAAGCTATAAATGAGGCTTTCCCCATCAATCAAAACTCTAGAGTTGAACTTTCCTATCTCTCTCTCTCTCTTATTTCTTTCTTGCAAAGAGGTGCTCTGCTGTGCACTTAAAAAAACTTAGTTTTTTTTTTAAGAACATCCCTTGTTACCAATCAAAATAAATGCTTATTGTTCAGTTCCTTGAATAAGTTGAGATTTGATATCATGAATAATAATGTTGTTTGTTCACAATCTTGTGACTTGTGAGGTTCAATAGCATGCAAATGATTTAATTCCATTGAGGTATGCCATTTGTCATTTTTCTGATGTCATGCAGAATTTTTCATTCACAGTATGAGGTTATTACAAGGTTTGAACAAGTATGAACTCATATCTTTCATGCCATTAGGCTACAAGGCCATTGGCATTATTAGTACAAAATAGATGTAACATAAAGCATCGTTCAAGTTCTACATTGAGGTCAGATTAGAACACAGTGTGTGTGTGTATTCTTGGTCCCCTGTCCCAATTATCTGCAATATCGCCTGTTGTTCTCCAGCTAGTTCCCACACTTCAGGCCCAAGTTGCAGGGTCTTCTACTCCCCTAAGTTCAGAAACAGATACATATTGTGAAATTTGCAGCATATGAAACCTTGCGAGAAAGAGTATGTGGAATACTGACCATTCACAGAGAGAGAATAAGATAGGCCTTCCAGATTTTAACAAAGCTTCACTCATTATGGGGTATCTGTATTCACAAAATGGAATGATAAATTTCCTCTTGCATAAATTAAACCGCTTCTTATGTTCACTTGAAGCCTTCAAATTCATACCTCTCCTCTGGACTAAGTCCATGTGTATCCTCACAATTAACATACTTCAAGTAGTCAACTCCCTAAAGTAACATTTGAATCAGAATATTCTGTAAATTATAGATATGATAAAAGTTAATGGGAATGAAGATTGGATTACCCAGGAAGCAAATGTTTTTTGCATCTCGGTCTTCATGTCCAAGTGATCCGGGCTGTCTTTTGCTGCAAGTTTGAGTTCTGCAGAGAAAATTTAAGAGAGATGAGAAATGTTTGAATAAGCACGTGTGTGTGTTTGAAAGTGGTCATTGAAGATTAAAGAGTTATAATGGTGAAAGCGGTACCCAGCATCAGAATAAATTCCTAGCTTTAAACCTTTTGCGTGAACATAGTCAGCCAGAGCTTTGATTCCTGAAGGAAATGATGAAGCTTTTGCTACCAAATTTCCCTGCTACGGTTCATATGTATCAGATTTCCACTTATCAGTGGACCAACATGACTAGAAAAGTTTTAAAATAAGCCTTTTGATGATGAGATGATTACCGAAACTGATTTTTAATATTAATTACCTGAGAATCTCGAGTAGATTCGCCCCAAAAATCATCTAGGGACAATAGAAAATCATGATTAAAAAAATAATTTTCGAAGGATTATAATGAATCTATTATTTGTTATAAATAGTTATGCTAATGTAATATCAGCTTACCAATACTGATACGTTGGTACCCCAAAGAAGAAAGGCCCGTTGACACCACTGCATCAGCTGTGCCATAATCAAAAGGTGTGAGGCAGAATTATAAATTAAGGCCTGGTCTCACACTCACACACAAGGAATATATAGATATATAAATAAATACATTAATTAGTTTTATTCACAGATTGATGATCAAGTTATTACCTGTTTGTTTAATGAGGTCTTCAGTAATATTGCAGCCAAAATGGTTCCAGCTATTCCATCTGTTCATCATTAAGAATTTGGCTATCAAACTTCGTCATTTAAAAGTATAATTCGTCACAATTCTGGCTGAAAGAAAACAATTCATTACAATATATATTATAGGGCATTATTGTAAATTGGAAATTAAAAAAAATCGAATATGTTGACTTCAAAGGGCAAATATATCTTGCAAGTCCTCACATTCAACTTCGAAAATTATTAATGTTTAACAGAAATTAAGTCATTGGTACATCCATGAGTTGTGATTCGTAACAATAGAATATGCCTTCCAGATCATCAGAAAAAGACAATTTTCTTTTTCAATTTTTCAAGAGAACCAAATAAAGTATAGTATTAGTACTATCCCCATATATATATATATGGGCTTATGAAAGAAAAAGAAAATAAAACTTGGACAGGAGTGCTTTCATGTTGAAACCCTCTTGATGCTCAGGAAAGCTAGTTATTAAAAGTATTATATTACGCTAAATATAAATATTAGATAATATTTTTAAGTATTCAAATATATGTCTAAATGATGAAAATAGGTATTTTTGAGGCAAAACATATTGTTTGGGGCCTAAAGTTTAATCAACATGGATTAAGGTCTCTGTACCTTTTTAGCCCAAAAAAGAAAAACCCCATGCCGTAATGAAACAAATTCTAAAATTATAGTTTCACGGTTATAAAAAATTGTGGCATTTCACTAATTTTGATCTAAGTTGATTATAATTCCAAAAATCGATTCTTAAAAGAATTACAATAACCTTGACTTAAAATTGACTAAAATTCTATGGCTAAAAGCCTAAAACCTTTTTCCCATATTTTTAAGGGAAAATTTCAACTAAGGACTGCAGTTGACAATTAATTTCAGGCAAGCCTCCAAAAAATTCTGAAATTTCACTAAAAGATTCTGAAATTTCACAGAAGGATCCAAAGAAACTAAAATTAATTGCATAACCCATTTTACAGAAATACCCTGCGAACTGTATCTGCAGAAAAGGAAGAAGAAAGAGAGAAAAAGGAGAGCTTGCTGTGTGAGGTAAACTAGTTTTTTAAGAAAATTATTAATATTATTATTTGCCCGAAACTTTATCTTAAAGAACTAGCTTTTTTTTTTTGGGCAGCTACTGACCGAAGCTTTATGTCTTACCGCAAAGAAGTTAATGTTTGTTGTCTTTATTTTCTTTCTGCTTCTCTATCTAGGCACACTCATATTCTTGGCATGTGTTAGATTAACATCACAGTGTATCAAATTAATCGATATCCTTTCATGTTGCTCCGTGGGAAAAAGAATGCAACAAGATCTCTGACAAATCATATATTCTAAGTACCTAGAACTGTTATTTTCAAATAAATTCACTAAATCTGTGGTTTGGGCAACTAATATATGTCTTCTTTTGTTTTTGGTAGGGATATATGTCTTCTAAATATAGATATTTAGTATAATATTTTCTGATTATAGGAGAGAAAGATGACTTATGATCCTCCGTGAGATTGTTGTTACCTATGCTTTAGTCACTTTACTATATTATTGCTATTAGCGCCAAAATGCTAGCTGAGCACTCACGGATAGTTGTGGTTGTTTCTATTGTAGACCATATTTGATAACATTCTTAATCGCAAGATCCCTTGGCCCCATGTTCCTGAAGAAATGAGTTCTGAAGCACAAGATCTTATTGATCGGTAATTGAATATGTTCTATTCTTACTCCAATGTTCTTCCTATAGGGCTTGGGAAGTCTTTGTTTTTGCTGCTTTGGCACTCCAAAATTCAGAATATTAGTTACTTGTATCTTTTTTTAACAATATCTGAGTAATTCCTGCTGCTTGATCATGCAAATCTTTTCTGACATATTCTGTGTAGGAGAATTTCTAACCTTGAAATTCCAATGCATTCTGACGTTTAAGAAAGCCAATGATAATTATTCCTCGTGAATCCATTTCTGTCACATGGCGGAACTTGATCACAGTTGTTGCCTTACTCAATTTAGCTTCTTTTAGTTTAGAGCTAGCTAGAAATTCTGCTCTACTAAAAGTCTTTCCATGAATTTCAAGGTTAGTGCTATGTATCATGTGGAAAGCCCATCACTGACAACGGGCTTCATAATTTGCTTTAAGGACATTCTTCTTGATTGATCAGTCACATAATTAGTAAAGATAGATTTTTCTTTGATTAGTGACTTAAGATGTTCAATTTTCAGATTGTTAACTGAAGATCCTAGTCAGAGACTTGGAGCTGGAGGGACATCAGAGGTGGGACTTGAGTTTTTATATTACCTTATGGATGCTTGTTTACATTTTTCAGATATTTCTGCTTTTTGTCATGGCTACAAAGTCTGAGCAATAAAAGCTTAATGATTCAGGTAAAGCAACATGTTTTCTTCAAGGATATAAACTGGGACACACTTGCCAGGCAGAAGGTGAGAACTATTTTCCCTGAGCCATGGATGTAATTAGTATAGCGAGCACCTTATGTCAACTCATGTCCTGGTAGATGCATCAGAAGACTCTTAATTTTTGCAGGCTGCATTTGTCCCTGCCTCTGAGAGTGCTCTAGATACCAGTTATTTCACAAGTCGCTATTCATGGAGTACTCCTGATGGCCTTGTGTATCCAGCAAGTGATATTGAGGATTCTAGTGATGCAGACAGTTTAAGTGGCAGCAGTAGTTGCGTGAGCAATCGTCAAGATGAACTGGTACTGCATTTGTGGGCATTCCTAAATATATTGCTGTTGAATTCATTTATTTTGTGCTGACTTGCTTTTGGGAACATCTTTAAGCAGGGGGATGAATGTGGGGGTTTCGCCGAGTTTGAGTCAGGCTTATCTGTCAATTACTCTTCCAGCAATTTCTCCTTTAAGGTATCTCATATCACTTTTCTTATATTCTAATTTTATTTATTGTTGCGACAAACAAGTAGAATTAACTATCATATGGATGATGCATTATCTGGTATGCCTGTATTCTTTTTCATCAGAATGACAAACAGCATGTGACGGCTTCGTAAAATGGCTGCTCTAACCTTTATTTATCTTGAATTGGACAGCTCAAGATTTGTTCCCTCTCCTTTTCTAGCATGTCAACATTTCATTGCTTATGATTTATGCCAAGTTAAATTATCCTTGATAAAACTTCATCATGTGCTAATGTCTCCATTTGGCTTTCAGAATCTCTCCCAGCTTGCGTCTCTCAACTACGATCTTCTCACCAAGGGATATAAAGATGACCCACCTACAAATTCTAGCACATAACTATCTCACCATTTTGTCCTCATTCCAGAATTTGGTTTTCGACATGTGACCTGAGCCATTTTTGTCTGCATATGCACCTTCTTGTTTGTAAGCCTTGTGCATGCATGATTCTACAAAGCTTGCATAATTTCATTATATCTTTGCCCCATATGTATTATGCCGATCTAATGATTTCTGACTTTGCAGAGACCTAGAGGCTCAAGAGCTGGTCCACGATGTGCTCTTTACTTATTAAGTAACAAATCAACACTGGGATTTCAACCTTTTGGGGTTTATGTTGTGTAGGTATTGGGGACTGTAAAGTACTTTAAAATGCATACTAGTGGTGGTTGTTCACATTTTTCTGTGTTGGTGGTGGGGGGTTGCTTATGTAATTTCCTTTCAAAATTTTGAGATATAGTGAAGGCCGTCTTCTGATCCTCTCTCTTGGAGCATTTTCACTTTACCATAGTTGATCTAAAGTGATTACCTTTCTCACTGGGCCTGTATCATTTAAAGTATTTGACTTTATGAGAGCTCGCCATAGTCATTTGGGGTTTTCCTCTCCTCTGGAGCTGATGGATGACAATAATTTGCTCAGCTCAGCCATCACAATCTTCAAATTAAAAGTGCTTTGTAAAGCCAGGTAAATTCATTGGGGGAGCAGAAGTGCTAAAAGGACAACTTTTTACTCACTCCACTCATATTCATAAATCATGTTTAACTAATACATAAAAAAACCAAGAAAATTAGTGAGAATTGATTGTATTAAAAAGGAAAAATCACTTCAGAGGAATGTCAACAAAAATTTATTGTCATTTACAAATTTAAACTTGTCAATACCAAATAAAATTGTGTTATTAAACCCGATTTGGGATTTGTAATTTTCAGTTTCTTTTTCTATCATTCTCCCTTTTTAATTCTTCACCCCCCATAGCTACTCGATATCCGTGCCAAGAGCATTATTGAGAAAAACTATTAACAGTTACGTAAGATTTACAGAATGACTTGTAAAATGTGAACAAACTTGTAGAAATGATTAATAAATGAGAGCGGAGGTAACCATTTTTTGGCCATATTTTCTTTTCCCCTTTCAAATATCAACTTCAGCTATTGTAGTTATTGCAAATGTTTATTGAGCAAAATTATATGTGAATAACACAGAGTTCTAGAAATTATGAAGTAAATCATTAATGATACCATAAAATGATATACAGTAAAAGTAAATCTTTAAAATGTAGTATAAGAAATTAGGAAATAAACAAACAATATATTGTTGCTAAATCAAATGAATAAATATAATATAAAGCTCGATTTCACCGTCAAATTTTACTCCCATCATACAAACAAGAAATTGTCAAAAATGGGAACAGGCCAAAATTTTAAAAATACAAAATAGCATGGCATTTGGCAGGAGACAAATGGTGGAGTGTCCATATTTGTTCCTCTTCCATCGCTTTCTTATTAATTAATTTCCCAACCTTTTTGCGAAGGTAGCCTCAAAAAGATTGGCAAAATGATCCAAACTATTTAGATGGCACCAAAATATCATCATATAGATATTCTTCAGAAGTAGGACCACAATTTCACAATATTCAACTTTCTCAATATTACATGTGAATGCCCTCTTCACTTGGTCCACCATAAAGTTTCAATCATGAACGTATCCACATGCTTCCTTCATACTTTTTGAGATTTCACAGTGACTATTGTCCACACAACACAACAATTTTGTTGTAAGTGTCAAATTTCAATCTTAAAAGTGAAATGGAATGATAAAAGAAAGGTTAAAAATTCTCCCTCTACTTTTTTTTTTTGGGCAAAATTTTATTTTTATTCTTTTATTTTATACAAGATTTCAGTTTAATCCTTTAATTTTATAAAGTATTCTTTTAGTCTTTTAATTTTAATATCATTAGCATCTAACAATGATTTTGTGTGCCAATTATCATCATTAAGAATTAAAATTAACGTATCAGTATTTAAAAATGGTTTATTACAATTTAAAATTTTAACGTTAGTATCTTTTGTTAATAGCTCTAGACTCTAAAAATTGAAAAAGTATTTTATAAAATTAAGGACCAAAATAGCACTTTGCATGAAGTTAAAGATCAAAGATATACTTTTACTTTTTTTTTCATTTTAATTTGAAAACATGTCTGGAAGTTTATAACTTGAGTTGTCGGTGCTCCTAACTTTGATTGATATTGGAAAATTTCAGAACATGATGAAAATAAATGAAAGGTGATGGGAAAGCCGAAAGCATTTGTTTGACTTTATGCTTATTTATTAGTATTACTACCTCCGGTCCTTAATATAAGAGTTAGTTGACTAATTTGAATGGATTAAGAAAACTGGTTAAGTTAATTATTTGTAACAAATAAGTATTATTTTTTAAAAAAATATTCTCGTTAATCAAGTGTATTATCAAAAATTATTATTATTATAAGAATTATTTTAAAAAAATAAATAAATATAAGAGATAAAATGGATTGAGATTTTATATTATAAATTAAAATAAAAATTAAACAGAATTTTATATTAAGATCGAGGTACCAGGGACCCATGTTATTCACACCAGGAACATTTTAACGTTGTGATAAATATTCTTTGTCCCTATTCAAATGCCTTATCTTTTAATTTGAGTACAACGTTCTGATTTTTTTGTCAAAAATAAAAAAGCAATAATTACGTGAATATCTCCTTTGATTAATAGGGCTTATCCTTAACAAAAAGATTTATTTGTATATTTAAGAAAGAAAAAGGTCCGATCAGCATATGAAGTAAATCCAAATGGCTTACGATGTGCACGTTCCACAGTACACCTGGACCAAGTTTATTGAATTAAATATAATAAAAGTAGTCTAAACTCTAAAGCTTTTCTCAACTTAAGAAGTTAATTATGGTTCTATTGTTAAAAATATTTTAGATTTTCTCAAAAGGGAGAAAGACACCAAAATACTCTTCAAATATGCAAATATTAATTCAGATTCCAAAAGAGCCTAATCATTATGAAGTCTTTAGAGACTAGGCTGATAATATTGAAATTAATTGTCACGGCTTTAGTTGTTAACATTTGATAAATTAAAGTTATTATTTGTTAAATTATTATTGTCATTTTTATTTTTCATTTTTCAAATAAAAGTCATTTAGGTAATTTCATAACAAAATTTAATCTCAAGCTAGAAATTTCTCCCCATACATTACACGGATTAATATATCTTATTACTTTTAAAATTATAATAAATTACATTATTTAAAGTAATTCAATATTTACTTCTTACAGAAGTATTTTTTTTTTATTCGTTCAAATAAGATTTGAATTAGAGATGCGGAATTTAGAAGTAATAGATAAAAATTTGAAATTATTTATTTATTTTTCTATTTAAGTCTCTAATGAACATATTACTTAATTATGATCCTCCCCATTTAATTTAATATATTCAAATTCTGATCAAAATATTATTCAAATCTCATTAAACCAATCAATATTACAAAATTTTAAGAATAGAGTTAATAGTTGATAGATTAATCTTCAAGGGATCACAATAATTATGTCATCTCGAAATCCTACAGATTTAGGAATACTTTTATATTTTTTCCCTATTTAAAACATAAAACCATTTTCTTTTCCCTGTTCTGCCCCCAACAACACATTAAATCTCAATGTAAATATGGATTTCTTTTTCCAGCATGGGACAAATAACATGATAGAAACTTTCGCCACAGGATATATTGATCAGAACAAGTTGTTAAGTGAAAATTTTAAAATTCAAATTCAAACAGTTAAAAATAAGACATACAAATAAAAATAAACATAAGATAAAGAGATGTACCGATCACAAAAAATTCAAAGCTCATGAACAGAAATTTATTTGGGTTCTTAACGCAGTTTCCCCAAATCTTCTTCTGTTCGTTTTATTTTGGCCAACCACCCAGCTCTGAATCCAACTGCTAAGAGAAAGAGTGAGGGAATTAATGAAGTTGGTTAAGAATATAAACCAAACGTATTTAATTCCAAAGTGATTTCATTTCATATCCCCACCAAACCTTTTCGGCAAAAAAATAAGAGTTTGTGTGAGTGAGATAAATGCCACCGACAAGACATCACAACCAACAAATGACAGCAAACTACGACGTCTTTTGTTCCAACAAGGCAACAAAAAGCAGAGTGTCCCAAACAAAAAGAAATACAAATCACTAATGGACCACATAGGCAACCTGTCCAGGTATCAAATGAGAAGAAGAAAACAGGTGGATGAAAATAATACACAATGGAGAAAGATTATATCATGAAAAAAGAAAAGGAGGCAATAAATTTGATGTTTGGTGCTAAAGAAACGTGAGACCCAGGCAGCCGCAGGATTTAGATTCCAAACCATCACTAATTCATTAACAAGAAGCATGAGCTTTGTTTGATGATTTGACTATCAATCGTCAGAGAGGAAGTGAGTCATTTTGAACAAGTAATGATCATTCAGCTCATTTTAAAACAAAATACCTTCATAAAAACAAACCAAAAAAATGATCTTAATGACCAAAATTTGTCCAAAGTGATTCATTTTTACTCCATAAATTAAGACAATCTATACATGCGATGACTATCTTCCATCAAGTAGGATGGTGACAAGGACAAAACTAAGGCTGTTTGCATGGTTTCTGTCAAGTCCTCTGATAAAAACATAAAAAACATGTCAAAGAAAATTTCTCCAGCAAACCAATCATGTGAAGTTAAATTGTAAAAAGATCTCTGAGTCTCATGTTTCTACCAAAGAACTTGATTGATGCCTTAGTTTTGTTCTCATGACAGACTCAGACCCAAAATCAGTGAGAAGATATATCATCTATATCCTTGATCGGGTCAAGATTTTGGATTCGGTCTTGATCATGTCTCGAGCTAGCCTCTCGTAATTCTTCAATGCGCTTGGTCACTTCTGTCATCGATGGCCGATGATCAGGGTATGGAGCAACACAATCTACTGCAAGTTGCAACAATTGAACCATCTCTTCCTCAACATTCTGATACCTAAGAAGCTCAAGATCAAACACCTCAGAGGTCCACTCTTCTCTAACAATAGATTGAACCCATCTAGGGAGGTCTACTCCTTCATCGTTCAAGAGCGCATGGGCCGGAGCCTTCCCAGTAAGCAATTCCAAGACCAATACTCCAAAGCTATAGACATCTGCCTTCTGAGATACCTTGCGAGGATCAGTTACCTCGGGTGCACGGTAGCCGGTAACTCGATTTGGAGTGGAGGTGGGACTGGCAAGGTGCGCCAGGCCGAAGTCGGATACTTTAGCATGCAAGGATCTGGTGAGGAGGACGTTGGATGACTTTATGTTTCCATGAGAAACATTAGTCCCTTGTGAGTGTAGGTACTCAATGCCTCTAGCTGCTCCAAGAGCAATGCCTGATCTCACTTCCCAATTCAGTGGGGTCCTACCAGCCCCTTTGTTTCCTGCAGCCAGAAATTATTAACAAACTTGTAACATCATCGTTCATGCTCATGATCCATCAGGTGTTTGTTGGTCAGATTTATATTTAACATAGTTCAATGAGGTCAATAGGATTTAAAGTCAGAGAAATAAAAAGAAGTATAAAACCAAGGAAAACAATCATCTGCTGCTTCCACATTACCATATCAGAAGAGAGGGGGGGAAAGGCAGGAAAATGAAATATATTTGAGATTCTATGGAAACTGGAGGAAATAGTGCTCAATTACATGCAGTTTCATTCAAGTAGAAGAAAGTAATTCATTTGAACTGCTAATGGGATGCATAATAAGCAAGGTTAATTGTCAAAAGATCAAAAGAATAAAACAAACCAGAAAAGAGGTAATGAAAGAAACAGAAGGTATCCAAATGAGCTCACCATGCAAAAGTGCAGATAAGCTTCCAGTGGGCATGTAATCATGGACAAGAAGCTTTTCTTCTCTGCTATAGTAGTAAGCCATGAGAGGGACCAAATTCTCATGATCCATTGCTCCTACTGCTTCAATCTTCTCCTTGAACTCTGTATCAGAAATCGTCACATCCCTCAATCGCTTCACCGCCACCACAGGCCCATCCTCCAGAGTCGCCTTATAGGCTGTTCCAAATGTCCCTTTACCCAAAACTTCTGCAGAAGCCCTAAGCAAATCCTCAAGATCGAACACCTTTGGTGAATGACCAAAAAATACAAGCTTTTTCGCTTCTGCCGCTGTCGCCGCCGCCGCAGTTGCCCCCACAGCCGAGTAGCCATTACTGTGTCCACTGTGTTCCACTTCTGAAACCGGTATGTCGCCTCGAATTGCCACTTCAGGATGCTTCTCAGAGAAAATGTCCAGCGACCTTGTCTTCTGATTGCTGCTCTTTCGGCACAATATGATCAGAGCGAAAAGAATCAACAGAAGACACACCGCTGACCCTACGACGATTCCGGCAATGGCGCCACCTGATAGTTTCTTCTTCTTCATGTTTCCTTCATTGTTTTCAATCGCAGGCGTCGGAGATTTTCCAGTTCCAGTTCCGGCTCCGGTTCCGGTTCCGGTTCCGGTTCCATTAACATCTCCTGGACAAAGACTGAGGGGTTTCCCACATAGAGAGTTTCCCAGAAACGAATCTTTTGCGAAAGTTCGCAACTTTTCTGGCACCGAACCATTCAGCTTATTGTTTGAAACATTGAATTGTTCAAGGTTTTCGAGCTTTAACTGGGGGATGGCACCTGAGAGGTTGTTGTTTTCAAGGAACAAAATTCTCAGCCTCGTCAAATTGTTGAAACCCAACGGAATTGAACCGGAAAAACTGTTTGACGCCAAATTAAGCCGCACCAAGTGCGGTAAAGCAAACAGGAACTCTGGAATTTCACCAGAGAGCAGGTTCTGTTGCAAGTAAAGGTTACGAAGATTAACGCAAGAAGCGAGATCTTCAGGAAGCCCACCTCTCAAAGCATTGAAACGCAAGCTCAGAGTTCGAAGATGAGTCAAGTTGCCGAAAATGCCAGCGGGAATTGAGCCGGAAAGCGCAACACCGGGAAGACGAAGCTGGACGACACGGTCATTTACGCACTGGACTCCAAACCACTTGCATGGACTCTGCTCAGAAACGTTCCAGAAAAGGGTTCGGCCCCTAACGGCCGAACGGAGAGACACGAGAGCGAGTTTCTCAGAAGCTAGATCTGGTCTGACCAGAGGAAGAACAACCAGGAAGAGACTGAGCAAAATGGAGAGTTTATGAAGCAGCATTATCATGCTGGATTTTAGCTACCAATACTGTCGCTCTATCAGAGAAGGAGAAGAAGAAGAAGAAAGGAAGGTGTGAGGTGGAGATGGAGTTGGTTTTAATGTTCAAAGAAGCAGGAAGGGAGTGAAAGAACAACCATTAAAGAGATCGAAATTGGGAAAACTCCAGTAACAGAGAGAGAGAGCTGCCGGCTGCGGTCTCGCGCGAAGGAGATGAAATGCTGTGCGTGCTTGCTTTTGTTTTTGTCAATGTGGGCTCCACAAGCATGCTTTTTTTTTTTAATGATATCCTACAGGCTTAAATTTTGAGTTCGCATAATTTCGAAATTTTATTTTTGAAAGAGTGACATAATTCAACTAGACATGAAATTTTGAGTAAATAATAACCTGAAAAAAAATTACATATCAAAATTTGGATATGCTGTTAATATCTGAGCTATTAAAACATCTTACATTTATAATGTATTTTCAAACTTTTTACTTTGAAACATATTTTCACTTCACCAGGAGAATTTCATAATCATACGGTCATTATCTTCCTTGTGGGTCCCCAAATACATTTTCCGTTCCTTTTTTATTTTGGAGACAGTATATTCATTTCTTTGGATTCTCTCCACGCGGAGGAAGGAAATCCATTTCATATTTTCATTGATTAAATATTTATTTAATGAAAAATTGATTATACTTTCAACCCATGAATAAAATGAAGAATCCCATGCGCAATTTGAACCATGACCTATGACTTTTTTTCTTTACACTTAGATAATATGAGTCTATTTATGATGATTTATAAGTAGTTTTTTAATCTAATTTATAAAATATAAAATAAATATGTGATAAGAATTGTATTTCCACTTAACAGAACATACATGATAAAAGCAGAATCTGTCATTAATAATTTTACTATCCCCCAATTTGAATTTTACATTATTATTATTATTATTTTCGATAATATGTACAATATGTCATTGATAATACTACCTCCGTTTCTTAATATAAGATCTCATTTGACTTTTATTTTAATTCGAAATATAAGATTCCAATTCATTTTGTCTTTCATATTTATGCAATTTTTTTCAAGATAATCCTTCTAATAACTATAGTTTTAGCCAACACATTTGATTAGTAAAGATATTTTAGTAAAGACAATACCTATTTATTACAAATAATGAATTTAACTTATTTATTTAATCTTTTCAAATTAATCAACTAACTCTTATAATTAGGATCGGAGGTAGTATTATAATTTCTTGAAATAACTTAATAAATTTTGAAATATAATTACAAGTTGTGCAGCGGCCAAAAATAATACATGTATCATAATATTATTAGAAATATAAATAATTTGATAATTCATAATGATACGAAAATACGGATTAGGAATTATCTTTTTAATTTATTATATGGATTTTCTAGTTTTTGTTTTCATTGAATTCAATCTTTGTCATTGACGACAACCACCCCTTGTGATTTTACGAAACTTATTGATTTCAAACCCACAAACAACAACCACGTTGCCCTGTATTATTGAGGACGAAATTAAGGGATTCAAAATTAGGTGCATCTTTTTCCCCCCTTTTTTCGCTTTAAGAATCAGAAGAGAAGTTAATTTCTTGTTTGAAGCGAGAAATTTTTCTCTCGTGACGGTAAAATTGAAATTATGTATATTATGGAATATATACGTGAGTTAAGATGCAAATTCGCTTAAAAGTTTTCAATTAAAAGTGCTGTCCGGAATTTTTTTTCCCCCCTTAATGTCACCTTGAAAATTTTCAAATCATAGTAATGTTGATCTAACTGTTATCTAGGTTAAGTACTTAAGTTATCAAAATTACTGAATTGACAGGTTTACTTGTCATCCACATCATTTTCTTTTCTTGAAAAAAAAATGAAGTAGATGACATATACATCTATTAACTTAGTATATTTAGTCAGCTAACGGTAAAACATAATCTAGATAATAGTTAAAAGAATTTAAAATAATTTGAGTAAGAATTTATATGATATCTTCATGTAAGACGTGTGGTTAAAAAGAAGTTATATAAAATGAATTCTTCATCATTCAAAAAAAAATCTTTTTTAATAAAAACTTTCAAGGAAAATTTGAAAATTTTTGGAGTAATATTGAAATATCAACATATAATATTGTTACAATTTGAAAATTTTCAGGGTGACACTAAATTAAAAAAAAATTCAAACACTTAACACTCCTAAGTAAAAATTTACAGGACAAATTTGCACGTTCATTAAAAAAAAAAAAAGCAAAATGAATGTCATGTGGACTTGTCAGCTCAACATATTTAGTCAATTAACAGTCAAACTAACTTAAATAGCTGTCAGGACGACACTACATGTTACGATTTGAAAACTTTCAGAGCAATGTTGAATAAAAAAAACTTCTAAATATCTAAAGCTTTTGAGCGAAGACTTTTCAATTTTTTTTGGGACCAGCGAAGACTTTTCACCTTACATTTATATATATATATATATATATATATATATAAATCTGTATATAAAGTTTAGAAACATATTGGTTTACTTTACCTTTTACTTCTTCAAGTTTCTATAGTATTTTTTAGGTACTCTTGGTACTAGCCCGAAGATTTTGAGAAATTAATTTTGATGATTTCAAAATTATTTTTCTTACTTACTAATTTTCGAGGTACATCATTTCGCATATTTGTCTGATTTTAAAAAATAATAAAAATATTAAAATAGCTTGCTTGATATCCCTCAGACACCTTAATATATATTTGAATCTTGTTCCTCTCTTTACAAATAAAGAAGTCAAGCTCACACTTATTTATCTTTCCTTTTAATTTGCTTCCGTAGTCTAATTAGGACTCGACACTTCTTTTCTATCAGTTTTCGTCACGAAAACCCACAATTATTAGCTGAGGTGGTTGGGTTTTATAAAGGCCAATGGAACAAAGCCAAAGTAAATTTACTAAAATAATATCTTCCGACAGAAAGACGAATTAGTATTGAGCCATTAAGAAAGAAAGAACAACGACATGTTATGACAAAATTTCACAATCGTCGTAATGGAACAGAATCAAAATAAATTAAACAGAAAATCAACAGTAGTAATAAGATCCAACAACTTTAACAGGAACAAACAAGCAATAGAGGGCCTCACATCGTTTCATTTGGACGACAAGACCTTTGAAACCATTAGAAACCATCTTATGAAGAAAATTCTCTGCCATATCATCCTCATTTTTATCAAGATGTCCAATAATAGTTTCAAAAGCAATTATGTCAGGGATGCAGTTGTTGCCTTCCATTTTATCAACGAGAGCCTTTGCCTCATCAAACAAACCCTCTTTACTAAGTCCCATGATCATGATAGTACAAGACACGACATTGGGATAGTGACATTCCATCAGACGATACTGAAAAATCTCTCTAGCCTTATTTAAGGAGCATTTGGGATTGTATAAAAATGCTTTCTAAAAACACTTTTTCACAAAATAAGGCAAATTTATCCATAAATTTATTTTATATACCATAAAAACACTTTTAAAGTTATGGTTTAATTTCTATCCAAACACCTTCTAAATCTTTTGTTTTTACATAAACCATCAGTGAGAATATTGTAGGTACGGATAGTAGGTTGGATTTTCTTTATGACAACATGTTGAAATAATGCGTTTACTTAATCAATGTCCTTCCTTTTTACATAATGCATGTAACAAGGTATTATAACTGATTGTATTAGGGGGATAGATGACCATTTCATCAAGAAGATCATGAACAAATGAGATTCTTCCTACTTTGCATGAGCGGTCAATCAGGAAATTATAAATCAGTGTTGGGAACCAAATTTCTTGAATGCAACTTCTTAAGGAGATATATTGCCTCATCCAATCTTTTATTCTCACATGACCCATCAATCAAAACATGATAACTAACAACATCCGGTCTCAAACCACTTTTAATCATCACCTTAAATACTCTCTTCTTGTACATTATGGATCATTACAATATCCATCCATTAAGCCGTTATAGGAAACAACTGTAGGCTTTTGACCAATCTTCATGATTTTGGCAAACACAACTTGAGCTTCAATTATCATACCATCTTTACAAAAAGCATTAACTAACGTAGTAAGGATGATGACGTCCAGGTTGATGCCTCTTTGAAACATATCATTAAGCAAATGAGTAATTAACTTCTGTCCATCTATGAATTTTGCAGAATCCATCAATGAGAGTGTTCTATGTGATTGTGTCGGGAAAGATTCCCTGGTCAATCATTTCTGAAAACAAACCAAGCCCCTCATTAGTAAAACCCTCCTTACAAAGCCCATCAATGACTTATGTGGTGTATATAACTACATCAGCTGGCTTCATTAGGAGTCTAGGCAGCTTATGGAGTAATTAATTTGACAGCAGATCTTGTTTTCCCCATTTTACATAATCCGTTGATTATTGTGCTGTAACTAACTTCATTCAAAATGTATCCTTTCGCAATTAGCTCATCATGAAAATCCAGTGCTTCCCCAACCATATTATTGTTGCCAGCGTAGTCAAAGTTATAGCATTTGGTTAAAATCCCATCTTGAAAATCTTCCCCGGTACAGAGAAAGGAGGATCCATCTCATCCATGTGGCAGTAATAAAGTTGATCAAAATGCTCAGAGAAAGCAGGCATGGAGCGAAACCCTTCAACTCCATGTCAGAAATAAGTGAAATAGCAATTGGGTAATGCTTCATCTTGACAATGGCTCCTAATGTTTTGTTAACTTTGAAGGTAGCGGGAAGGGGAAGCTCACGAAGCATGCGATTGGATGAATCAAGGACATGGCATATGTCATTTGGATTTGGAGAATAGGAATGGAGGAAGAATTTGGCATGGAGGGTATAAGGTAAAGAGATAAGGAAGCGAGAAGAAGATGATGGGGTAAATAGCAGGGAAAATCGAAGGAAGAACAACATCTTCACAGAACCCGAATAGTTTAATAGAGTCCTACGTTATTACTAGTGAATGATAGTGTATGTGGAAGCTCTAAGAGTTCTGAAACTCCACTGGTTTATTGCAGAAGAGAGTTTAATTAATTAGCGTAAAATTCTGCTCTCTTTTCTAGGCTGCCTTCGTCTTGTTCTAGCTACATCTATTTCGTTTTGTTTGTAGTATATATGAAGTTGTTCTCAGTATCAGACAAAAAAGCAAAAAAAGAATCCTATATACATTGAACATTGTTTAACGAATATCATATGCTAGTTAAGCTATTTATAATAGAATAGAATCAAACTTTTTTGGGCCATTGAGATCAGCTGAAATGTATCAGTATGTAGTATATACATATGTGTTATATATATATTCGAAATAAAGGAGCTCCTTCAATTATGTTTAAGCTTATTTTATTAATTAAATGAAAGAATAAATTGAATGTCCACATCTACTTGTTCTTCTTGGAGCTGCTCCTCCCTCCCACATCCTAACTAATAATTAAGCATCTGAAGCAACAATTACAAAGACAATATCAGCAGCTTTAATTTAATCTTTCTCTATATATTATCTAGCGTCTTTAACTATGATCTATTATTATATAGGACCTTTAATTAATTATTAATTATTTAATTCCTAAAATAATCGAGTCTTCTAACTAACTAACCAACTATTTCTATGCCATAGTCAATAACTTGATGAACTCCTTCTTCTCCGCCTCCATATCTATCTTCTTGTTCTCTGTGAGTCAATTCATCCAATGCTTCCTTCATCCACTCATATGGGCAAATCTCTTTGGCTTCACTCACGCTCATCTGCATTAATATTGTCATGCAAATTCATCATTAATATTTCTCTTTTTTAAACCTTTTTTTTTTTGAAATTGTGATCATATACATATTATTGAACAGTATTTCTTAAAATAGTTAATGTGATGCTTCATTGTAGAAATTAAAGTACAACGATGAACATTAATTCAGAGAATCTACATGTGTGCGCGTGTATGATGCTTGTTAATTTCTCTAAAATATCTCTTTTAATCGTTTGCATTAAGAACTATTCATTTAATAAAAAATTCTTCAATATATACAATCAACAACGAAAGTTTACTTAAAAAAATTTAAATTTAGAAATAAAGTAAATTGAGATATTATATTTGAAATTAAAATAAATTTCTAATTCCTATACTAGCTCTTATTTTTAGGATTAAAGAGAATATGAAACCTCTATCCAACAGCATTATATAGCATTCATGAAACATAAATAGGATGCAGGTGTGCATATGCATAAATTACGTGCAATGATTTCAATTCAAAATTATGTATAATGAATTGGATATTTGTCCAATAATGATGATAAAGAAGAAGAATTGGATACGGACATACCCATATTCGTTTACGGATATTCTTCTCAGGCCAATCCTCTAGTTGCTTGTTTACAAACAAAGGGAACATGTGTCCCTCATGCACAACGCATTGTCGTTTGCTCTTATATCGCCATTTCCCTAACATGCTCTGCACAAATCAAAAGACAACTCAGTCAGACGAGTTTGTTTAGTTTTTTTTTGACAAAATGAATAATTAACGAAGCATTTTAATTAAATTCTCTAATAGTTTAAGTTCACAAAAATATATTTAATTAGTATATTCAACAAAAGAAAGTGAGAAAAAAAATCATGGGTAATAAGATACTGACTACCAATACAACACATACAGGACGTTTGGATAGAATCCAAACTATAGTTTCAAAAGTAATTTTATGATATACGAAATAAACATATGGAGGAGTTTGTCTTACTTTGTGAAAAAATACTTTTTAAAAACACTTTTCTCAAATGCCAAACACCCCGTAGCGTGTTTTTTCCCATATAGTCGTGTGCATCAAATACTTACAAATATATGAATATGAAAATTCAAGTAATTTGAAACAAGGCACGTAGGTTGTTTAGTTTCTCCAAAAAACACAAACTCCAACATGAACAGACTTCAATGTGTATATATGGACGTATTGAATAATACATATAAAAAGCGAAAGAAAAAAGAATTTAAAAATTTATTGTGTATTTAAGAAATGAATATGATATAACTCAAGATAAGATCAGAAAAAAGATTAATGAAGATACTAACTTGGACTTTACCCTCAACCCCAGCTTCCTCTAGAGTTTCCCTTAAAGCTGCTTGTTCCATGGATTCATCGATCTCCCAACCACCCTGAACAATAACCACATTACAAACGCATGTTAGAGTCAATATCAATACTAATAATATATAAAATATACAAATTACTATGCTGTTGATAAATTAAAGGTTGAATTACATAAAACTTTCCTAAACTAAACTACTTCTGGTTCTTAATATAATAGCTAGTTGATTAATTCAAGTAAATTAAATAAATATGTTAAGTTAGTTATTTACATCAAATATGTGTTCAATTCCATGAAATATCCTTTTAATCATAATTACCTTCAGATGAAAACCTTTTTAATATGTGTAATCAATAGGAATATTTTAAAGAATGAATTATAAATTTGGCAGATAAAGTAAACTAAAGTCTTATATTTAGTACCAAATAGAATTTCCAACAAGCTCCTATATATATTAAGAACTAGATGTAGTATGTAAAATCATCTGCAAATTAAATAACCTCTGTCATCTTTAAAGTTTACTATTTCTGGTTCTAATTATAAGAGTTAATTGACTAATTTGAGATATTAAAAAATAAATTAAGTTAGTTATTTGTAATATATATATATTTTTCTTAAATATCATTGTCAATCAAGTGAATTGACTAAAATTACCATTATTAGAAAGACTATCTTAGGGAAAAAAATATATAAATATGAGAAACAAAGTGGATTAGAATATTATATTTAGGATCAAAATAAAAGTCAAATAAAATCTTATATTAAGGATTGGAGGTAGTAATAAATAAACCTCCTAATCCTTCCTATCTAATGCAAATAACTTTAAGCTATCAATTTTATACTAAAAAGCTTTATCTTTATATGCGTAACGCCAAATATGTAGATAAGCTACTTTAACTCAAAAAACGTAGCTAGGAACTATCTGTATAAGTTTAAAGATTCAGAAATGTTTATTGTAAAGTTTGTTAAGCAGGATATTTACACATATGATGCGAAATTCATAAAGGTTTCATATAATATAGTCTTAAATAACTGATAAATAATGGTTCTTATGTTAAACTTCAAGACCCATTTTAGTTTAACAAAAGTAAAAAAAAGGACCGACTTAATCTGAGTTCTTTTTTTAAACCAATTAACAAATCCAAGTTAAGTGCTTGACCAAAATAGAATATGTCAATAAGAATATTTAAAAATTTTGACCATTTCAGTATGATTCAAACCATGTCCAATAATAATCATACTACGTCCAGTCCTTAATATAAAACCTAGTTGATTAATTTAGAGAGATAAAGAAAGCTAGTTAAGTTAGATACTTTTAGTAAATAGATACTGGTTTTTCTAAAATAACCTTATTAATCATATGTATTCGAATTATAAATTAATAGTAATTCTTTAACATGTGTAACTATTATAAGAATTACTTGAAAAACAAAATGAATAAATATTAGAAACAAAGTGAATTAGGATTTTATATTTAAGACCAAAATAAAAGACAAACTAGCTCTTATATTAAATACCAGAGGGAATATACAATAATTGTATATACAATTATACATACATAACTAGAGAGATAGCTAATTAGATAATTAAATACCTTAGGGAACTGCATTCCATGACCTTTCTGAGCACTAATCATAAGAACTTCCAATTCGCTATTATGTCTTCCATCAACATTATCCCTACTCTTGTATCTGTATGGAATGCATCTGACATTCTCAAAATTACACAAAGCAGTCAATAAATCACCATTCAGCAACGTCAGCACATAGACACACAGATTAATTATGGAGCCATATATATATAAATAATAAATCTATATATGAAGGAAGAAATCTATATATAAAAAGCACACACACACATATATATATAGACATCAACTGAACTCCAAGGCAACGAGACTTCAATGTAACCAAATTGAGAAAATCTTCACAATTTTCAGATTGCGAGTGGGGTTCTGAAAAGAAATGTAAATGATGGTGGATCCATGAAATTCATATATATATATATATATATATAAATATTTATGATCCCGATCATCCAAGAACGATAGAAAGTGGAAATTGGAAAAGAAAACAGAAACAAGAACTCGAACGTGAAAGAGGAAGAGGAAGAGGAAGATGAATTAAGATGAAGAAGAAACACACGTACGCACCCCACAACTTGGCGACAACCTTCATCATATCGCTGCAAATGCCTACCAGTACGAGAGGTCAAACGCACCACTTTCCTGGGTTTCAAGAAATGGCCTGCAACTTTTCTCGAGAAAATATATGGAAAGCAAAATCTGCATGCCATGATAACATTCTTAGAAAGAAACAGACCCATCACGCCTTTCTTAATTTGATTCCTTCTCCTTCGGCTTCAGCAATAGATATATACCAGAGAAGGAAACCATTCATAACTGACACAGAAGCAACGTACGAACTCTCCTCTCTCATGTGTGTGTGTCTATATATATATACACATATATATATGGCGTGGGCCCACGCAGGAATCAAATGAAACGTAAGAAGTGAAACTTGCGGTGGGAATTTTGGAATCAAATAGAGAGGGAATGCGGTGGAGAAAAGAAGGACGTCGACGACCACGACGCGGGTTGTTCGTTATAATATGGATGAAGAAAAGAAAGAAAGAACTATGGAAGAAAAGAAGAAGTCAAAATTAAAATTAAATTCGAGAAGCAAAATAATAATAATATTATAGAGGCGGGAGCTTAGGAAAGAGTATGGAACGATGATTATGGTTAGACATAAATAAATTAAAAAAATAAAAAAAGAATATTGAATGAAGCAAGACGGTGTGGATGGAGACCAAGTCAAATTGGAAAGGAAAGGATTCTGTCAACATCGACACGCTTTTGATAATTTGATTGAAGAAACAAATTGGTGATTTCCAGGTTGTTTCTTTGAGGAAACTATGCATCATTATAAAATAATAATAATAAACTAAGTCAACTGAGCATACAAGACTTGCCATCGTTTGAATTCAGCCTAAGAAAAGAAGACTCGAGCCGGAAAAAAAAAATCATGGAAATAGCTACGACTTTGATTCAATTCAGTGGTAAGAGTGTGGGTGTCTCTGTTTATATTATGTTTTATATTTTATGGGAAGGCTTTTTTGACCTCCTATTTCATGGGTAGGTTGGGATTTACATATGAGTTCGAAACTTAAAAATTTGACTCCCTATGGATTATTATAAATGTTATATTTTATATTAATGTTGATTATTCAATCATGTTAACATATTAGATTTTATTGATATAAATACGTGATTAAGGAAGCAAAAATGATTTCAAAGTTGCCATGATAAAATGTATTATGAATTAATATATATATATATATATAATATTGATTCTCTGTCTCTTTTTATTATGTTTTTAAATACAAAACTTGACCATCTGAATCCGAACCATCCTATCAGTGATCTGATTGTCAGTAAAGATCCTTGTAATTTTTTTTTTTACAAAAAATAAAAATGCATCTAACACTCTCATTTTAGTACATTCAGCATCTTGATATTAATTTTTATGCATCCAAAGCTTTAATATTGTTTATATTACACTCAATACCCACATCTTATTTATGATATTGGACGCATCAAGGTGTTGCTCCTTAAAAATTACATTTTTACCAACAAAAAAAAAATTCCAATCATCCTAAAGTTGCTCTTTGCGCGGTCGCCCAGGTAGGTAAAAACCAAACTTTTAAAAAGAAAAGATGAGATTTGTTCAGTAACTTCCCCCTTTATCATTGCGTGCTTTACGTGGCCCTTTGTTTAAATTGATATCCCTATGCGCACGGATTAGCAGCCCACGTATCCCCTGCTTCAACGATTAATTTTGTTTGATTTGAATAATTTATATTTTATTCATATTTTTTTAATTTAAATCATCTTGTAATTTTATAATTATGAGTCAAATGATTTATAAAACATATATGCATACACTTTTTTGGTCAAACCCAAATCAACCATATTATTTATAACTCATGAGCATTAAAGGTACAATTTTCAACCATGTTTATAGATATCATGGAATGCAAGCATATAATTAAGCAAATCTCATTTTGGGACACCAAAAGGGTACTTTATTTTGGAGGGTTTGGCCTTATGGAATAGGATTTCGATTAGCAAATACTCCTCCGGTCATTAATATAGAACCCAATTGTTGAATTGGTTTTGGTTCTAAATATAAGACCTATTTCTCTAAATTACCTCTATGGATACTCCCTCAACCATAATTAAGTAAAAGAGAAAGAGGGGGTATTAGGAAAGATGATTATGATATTTTAGAAAAAACATGTCACATTTCTTATAATTAACTAACTTATCTAATTTTCTTCATCTAATCAAATCAGTTAAATGGATCTTATATTAAAGACTGGAGGAGTATTAATTATAATTTTACTCTAAAAAATAATTACTTTTGGTTGTGTACATGACAAAGATTAACATTAGTCTTGAGTTTAAATCTAGTGTATTGAACCACGAGATTATTGTGGTTGATCATTTTATTGTCTCTTAAATATTCCTAACATGTACGATTAGATGAGGAAAAAATCTCTTATATTTTGCTTCGTTTTGCTCTTCTTCTTTTTTTTTTTACTTTTGCTTTATTGACGGTTATTGTTTCACCTAACACATCAAATTTGTTGTACCTAACTACTTATGTAATAGTTTTCATATAAAAACAAATTAGATTGTGGATTTGTATTTAATACTACCTCTGGTCCTTAATATAATATCTCGTTTGATTTTTATTTTGGTCCTAAATATAATACCCCAATCCACTTTGTCTCTTATATTTATTTAATTTTTTTTCCAAGATAGTCTTTCTAATAATTATAATTTTAACCAACATACTTGAATAGTAAGGATATTTGAAGAAAGACAATACCTATTTATTACAAATAACTAACTTAGCTTATTTCCTTAAATTTTATTCTTATTTAATATATATTTTATATTTTTATAACTTATCCCGTGAATAAGAAATGAAAAGTACAATTATACATTCATGTAAAAAAAATTAATAATACAATTTATAAATAGAATTAAAAAAGCATGCATGTTCTATCCTATAAATAAGATGAGCAAGTTTATAGGCGTGTTAAAGTTAAAACAATTGGAAATCCCTACAAGAGGATCCCAATTCTAGCGTAGAATTCTGTGCGAGGTGAAAACTTTAGACCCAAACGGGGGTCAACTACGTATCTGAAGATGGAAAAAGAACATCTGAGATTCAAAATAGGAAAGGGGGTTTGAACTCTGAATTGCCTATTGCGTTTGAATTGGTCCCATCTTCCACTTTGAAAAGATTAATTTCCAAGGCTTTTGAGACACTGAAGTTAGGTGATGATGTGGAACACTCTTTGATGAGTTTTGTGTTTTATGATTCTTATTCTTCCTTTTGTTTTGTTTGTTTGGTCACCGTCACTCATGATTCATGCTTCCCCTTGCCCTCACCTACTAGCATCAACCTTGACTTCATTCTTCTTGTTCCTCCAACATATCTCCCATATATATAGTTGTTTGATTTCAATGTTCAAATAGTTAGACAAAGGCACCCACTTGGAAAATTAGTTATCGAGTGTTTAATGTAAGAGTCATTTAACTAATTGGGATAATTTAACAAAGTTAAATAAATTACTTAATTCTATCAAATGTAATATAATCTCCCTAAAATACTTTAGAGAAAATCACAAAAAAATCTTGAAAATAGAAAAATTGTAAATAAGAACGCATTATCAGCCCCATTATCACTGTACTATTCATAGTTGTGGGACATTATGTACTCACTGGCTCTACGATAAGCAAGTGAACGGGGCCGGTGTGTGGCAAACAGAACAACATTAGTATTGGTTTTGATAACAATTGATAAACAAATGACAACGATTTTTGTGAACAAGTCCCTATATGTAATTTTTTAATTTCTAAGGTTTTTTTTGTGATTTTTCCAATACTTTCACATGCATTTGTCTAAAGGATTGAGATTCAAAGTATGCTGCTATTGGCTTTTAATGAGGAGTTGGAAGTTTCAAATTCATCTTTCAAGTTTTTCCTTCAGTTAGACGGTTATAGGTGTAATCTAATGAAATCAATGAATAAGGACAAATATCATTAATTTCTTGGTTAAGGACTAACAGAGACATAGTACGTGGTGGAATAATTACATTCAAGTAATCTCATGGTCAAGTGCTTGGTTCTTACCTCTTCAAAGGCACATTCAAAATGCTGGGCATGAAACATGAACTTAATTAGTACTCTTACTCTAAAGCATCTTGGTCATTCATCATTAAAGAAAAGAGTGGCCTAGAAATGGTAACGTTGGTATTTTGAGAAGTAATAAATGGATGATTCTTTGGAATTGGGAATTTTCAATCACTTTAATAAATTTTAAACAACTCAACAGAGCTTGCCCATGATGCTAACGCTTAATTGCCAGTGTCCAAAATGAATCTCATGGATGAGCACGAGGTGCTTCTTTTCAGATCTGACCTGTCCAGAACAAAACTAGATTATTCAAATTTTCTTATATTTTACTTTTAATATTTTTATTTGGAAAAATGGCAAAAAAACAAAGACCGTCGAAATAAAAATTACAAAGAAAGACCGGTTTATAAAAATTGTTATCAAAACCCATACTAATGTTGTCATTGATCCTTATTTGCAATTTTTCTATTTCGGCGATCTTTTTTTGCCATTTTTCTTTTTTAATTTTAATACATACAAAATATAAAATAAAGATAATATTTTAGTTACTTCTTTTTTTTAAAAATGAAACTTAAATAAAAAATTAGGGCAAGAAAATTAAATTTAAGCCAAATCTGATATCCCCATTCTTAGTATGCTTATATGATATTTAACATTATTGAGTCAAATTCAGAGATTGTCAGGTCCAATTAGAAAAAATTCTGTCAAAGGTCAAATCTCACCTATACGAGCAGATTAATTAAAATTCAAATGCACAAGCATCTTAAAGTAGTACTCCCTCCGTTCCTTATTATAAGAGACACTTGATGCTTATGCCATGTTCCTATATATAAGAGACACTTACAAGTTGTCTCTACTTTTTTGTGTTGATTTACTATTTTACCCATATTTATTATCTCCAACTCACACTCTCTCTCCCTCCCACTTCTCTTTCTTTTAATAATTTAATTGTTCTCTCTCATGCTCTCTCTCCTTATTAATGAGGGCATTTTTGGAAAAAAATTATACTTTTTATATATTAATTGTTCTTAACTAACTTTAACTGTTTTTTTGATCAACGTACTTCGGTTATTTGTCTCTTATAATAAGGAACGGAGGGAGTAATGTTTAAAGACCCAATGGAAAGTTCTTTCGTATGTGAAACATTGTCTCACCACTTAAAAGAGTAAAACAGAGTGCAATTAAAGTTTCAGAATAACTTGTCCCAGAGAGAGTTAAATCTACTCAAATAATTGAGTTTTCTTGGGTGCCGCAAACCACTTTTTTAATATTAAAAAACGCAAGGTTGCTTCTGCGTTTTATTTCGGGAAAACGTGTGAGGGTTTGATACACGGAATCTCCTTCCTGAAGATCAGATTCCACCTGATATGGATTGAGTCATGAGAAACTATAAACTGAAGAGGCTGATTTTTTGAAGTTGAAGGCTCAAAATTTAAATGCCTTCCGAGCCTGTTTTTCTCCTAAAAAGCACATAAAGGCCACTAGAAAACAAATAAATCCATATGAAATTGAAGGCCGAGAAAGAATCATGGAATTACATCTATATAATTTAAAAGAATAACTTACATCAGATGATTGCGAAACCAATGTACACTTGCAAGGAATTATGCAAATGTGGAAAGTAAAAATAATCTCTTTGATTGGCTCCTATGATTTTGCAGTTTCATTTTCCCTGATGTTGGTCTCTGAATTAGCTTGCATCTCAAGCAGCTTCTGTTGTTCCTCATCACTCTCTTGTGCAGTAACTTGTTTTGGAGCCTTTGGTTTGCTTGTTGATTGCTGATAGAAGATGCCACCAAGCATACAAATCAAAAGTCCCACTGTACCCACCCAAGTTGAATGCTTGTCCCATACCATTAAATTAATCACAACAGTCAACAACTTGTTCACTATGCCAAGAACCGTAAATCCCGTTGCAGAAATCGCCCTGCGGCATGAAAATCCAAAGAAAGATATGGATAGACCAAACAAACAAGACAATCCCACCGGCAAAACCACTTGAAAAGAGTACCAATCAGATTCATCGGAGAATTCGTGTTTGATCTTCTTCAACTCACCCATTATAAGCAGTTCCAATGGGAAAAGTAGAAGAGCCTCAAGATTGTTGTACAGCACAAGACCCCATGTGTTCAAACCAATGGTCATAACTACATGCTTTATGTAAACAAAATCTATGGTCATGCTAACCAAGTAAGCCAGAGCCCAACTATAAGCCATAAATGTGAACTGGTAGTCAGTCAGCACATAGATCACACTTCCTACAAAGATGGTGCCTAATGACAGCCATGTCTTAAGGGATGGCCATGGCTGGTGTAAGAAGAGTGTCTCCCCTATTGCAACGAAAATGGGAACTGCAGATCGAAATACAATGAAAGTATCCACGTTGGCATGGAGGAGTAGCTCGCTGTTGGTGAAAAGAGATAAGTAGAAGATGATAGCTGCTGGTAGAAACCACCACATGGTCAGTAGGTCCAGAGAGTCATGCTCAATTAACTTGAACCGTCCACAAATGAAGACGCCAGCCGCACTGGTTAAGTACTGGAGGGCAGTTAGTGCCCCAGGATACGGAAATTTCATGACAGCCCATTTGTTGATGATTGAGAGCAAAGATGCAGATAAGCAATATCCAGCAGCGATGCCGTATACCGAAAATTGTTGGAGGAATGCACTGTACCAAGTTCCCTGGATATCATGACTAAAGGGCAAGGGGGCCTCAGCACCTTTCTGAACCTCCACATTAGAAGGGTTTTCCACATCATTGGCTTTAGACATCTGAATAAATCTAAACCTATATCAGTGCAACCTTCATAATCTATTGATGCAAGTGTTGATTGTCGATTCATTAAAACTCAAAAGCATATGTGCATTCCAGATCAGGAAAACAAAGGGGGGAAAATCCTCAAAACCTCCCTAACATCGTATGTGCCTAGAAATGAAATTCATCCAACCAGAAACTGAAAATTTTATAAGCTCCTTACCCTAAATATAATACTATTTTTCCAACAAACAACAATAACAAGTATCCCAGACGTTACAATTACCAATAAATATAACTTTGGCAGATATCGTACAAGATGTTGAAAGAATTGGATCTGAAGGGGGGGGGGGAATCAAGCTGAGTGGCAAGAATGAAATATTTATAAAAGAATAGGCAGTAGAACAGTTGAAAAATATAGGACTTCGCTAGTTGAGTAGTCGGCTCAGAGTATAGCACTTATGCTGATTTTTGCTAATCAAAATCAAAGTAAACGACACAAAGCATTCATTGACAAGTAAAGGATGCAATTTAAGGCAGGGAACCCATTGCAAGCCCTGCTTTACATTATTTTCCACTACCTGTGGTCAGTTTCTCCAATGCAAACTCTACTTTCAAACCTGAATTAACACCATTGCGTTTTCATTATTTACAATTCTAGGTGTAGTAAGCATCGTATATCAGCAGTATTAGAAAAGTTTCAAAACATAAGCATATGGCTGAGCAATTTGGAAGAAAGGATGACTATCCCTTTTCCTTCTCTCTACCATGGAAACATAACAAAGATGAATGACTTAACAATGGTCTAAATGATGCCAATTTTTAAACCCACATTCAAGATTAAGTCTCTATTTAGCGAACTCGATACGATTTAACACGGAAATTAATGGAAATTCGATTGAATTTCAAACTCATTACAAATTTCAAATCACTCGGGGCCAACCGACATGGGAGATTGGGGAGGAAAAGGGGATTGGATGGCGAATCACAGGTCCATCTGCAGCGAACTCAGATTTTAAGAGAACCATTGCAGAAAAGGGCCAGTGATGGGAAACGCATCATAATATTAATGGGCATAATAAACAAAGGGAATCAAAGATAGAAAATGATTGCACGTAGAATGCGGGGCAAGAGAAGTACCGAGCAAACCTCAGGAATTAGAACCCCAGAAACGTTGCTAAAAACCTTGAGATCCGGGAGAGCAGAGAAGGATCTGCCGTGCTTGATACTCGGAGCAGCTCTCGGGGAAGTAGGAGCCTACCCACTTGATTAGAAACAAGCTGAAGAAGAGTTTAACAAAAAAAAAAAAAAAAAAAGAGAGGAAGAATTAGAAAGAAAGCTGTCATCATCAATTCATCATCATTTTTTAATACAAAAACTTGTGCTCCCTCACTGGGCTTAGTTATAAAATTATTTATAATTGCTTGTTAATAAACTTCTCTTGTCGGCGGTTTTGAACCGGCACCGTTGTGTGGCAGTGGGATTTGCATGGGTTAATTGGGAATTTTAACAGTAATTATAAGGATATGTATGTATGATCAATTTAATAATATTATAACTAATTTACACTTAGTTATTGACTTTTGAAATTGTACATTCTCTTAACATTTATTGTTATCTAATAGTTATATTAAAAATAATGTTATCATTTTATAATATTTTAAAATTTTAAAATAATACAAGAGATCAGATTTAGGATTTTAAAATTTATTGACCCTAATTTATCTTTTAACATGTTTAAAGGTATTTTATTGTCTTTTTTTTTCTATTAATTACATAATGGAGGACGGAAAAAAATGTCTTATATTTTTTTTTAATTTGATGCCTTAAAAATTGCCTTGTAAATTTTGAATATATGGTAACTCAAGAAAACATTCATCGCAGAATGTGGTTATTAAAAACCATTAGTGGGGGAACTTTGTCTGATGTATTAAAATTGGTTCAATTTTACCCGAAATGAACGGAGCCCAAAACGTCGGTTTTCTCCCCTGGACATCACGTTCACAGCCGTGTCTCACTCTCCACACAACTTTCTCCGCCCTGGTCTAGTCAGCGTCAGTCTCCTTAAATCAGGACTAGCAAAGAAGCGGAGCATTGCTTTGACTGGGACCGAAAAATACACAAGCAAGCCTCAAAGTAATTTTTCCCCCTCACTTTTAACATCTTAATTTAGAGAGTTTGGATGGAAACCAACCATGGTTTTAAAAGTACTTTTTCGCTTTACGAAATAAATATATAAAGGAGTTTGTCTCGTTTTACAAAAAATATTTCTCATAAATACTTTTCAAGGTTTCCAAACACCCCCTTAATATGCTTCTTTCTACTGTAACGGCCGTAGCTGTAGCAATATAGATTTTACACTCCAACTAAATGAATTAGCCAAAAAAACCAAGCCGTAACAAAAATTGTTCTCCTAGCACCTGAACAATAAATTGACATGGATCAAGCATCTAAGTCATTGGAGATTTGGACCTTCTGTCTTCTCCTCTCAGTCTCTTTTACTGCATCTCTTGCAGTAATGTGGGGGTTCATCATCATCATCTTCTTCATCAACGACCGAGGACGGAGAAAGCTGAGATAGGGGGAGCTAGACACAGCTGTGAACGTGATGAAATTTTTTAAATAATCATATGTTTTTTTTTCTTGGAAATCTTACAGTAATTTTCTATTCAAAAAACGGTAAACAATTAATCCTTCCTCCTAGGATATTCCGGAGGACAAAGGGGAAGTGGCTTATCTATGTGAACACATGACAAGACTCATTTATATTTTGGGATAAATAGCTTATCTTGTACCCAAAAAAAACCCAAATGCACTTAAAAAAATTATTTTTAAGTAAATTAAGATAAAATTCTTCTTCCACATTTATTTTGAATTTTTTTAAAAAAAAATCTAATCCAAACACTCCCAATTTCGCTCATTAAAATGTGTGTTTGGAAAAAAGAAAAACACAAAAAAAAAAACTAATTGAAAATGGTTGGGAAAAAGGGATGAGAATGACTTCGGAGTAGGATGTTAGCACCCTTATGGGCTTTTGAAGGGCCTACATTACTACAGTCGGTGAGACCTACCTACATGGACCCAAGGAATTCCTTTTTCTGGAAAAAACGCGAAAGGACGTGTACCAAAAATGGACAAAAGGATAAGAAGCTTGGGGGGCCCAAGAATACATGTGTCTTAGATTAAAAAGATGTTTAAATAAGACCAAATTATAATTTCAAAAGTATTCTTTTACGGTTTACGAAATAAATATATAGATAAGTTTGTTTCGTTTTGTTAAAAAATACTCCTCCGGTCCTTATTATAAGACCCAATTTGACTTTTTATTTGGTCCTAATTATAAGACCCAATCCATTTTCTCTCTATATTTATGTATTTTTTTCCAAGATAATCCTTCTAATAATGATAGTTTTAGCCAATATACTTAATTAGCAAGGATATTTTAGGAATAACACACTTATTTATTATAAATAACCAACTTAACTTACTTCCTTAATCTCCTCAATAAGTCAATTGGGTCTTATAATTAGGACCGGAGGAGTATTTCTTAAAAGTACTTTTGAAGGTTGTCAAATACCTATTAGATGGGTTGAAAAACAGGTGGCTTAAACAAAGAGGGGGAGAGAGAGATGGTGAGGGGTAATATGATCAATCATCCAACAAAATTTTAAAATCCCTAATTAGTCACGTTGGCCTGACAGAAAATTTATTAAAAGTGTGGGTTTGAAACTAGATTTTAATATTTCAGCTGAATTTAATTGGAATTTTTTTTAAAGAAAATAATGCGCAAGGTAGAAATAGAATAAAAAAAGAATTATATAGGCATAATTATATTTGGACCAGAAAATGAAGGATTAAAAGGTAAAGTAATTCTATGATATAATTATATAAGCTTGAATTCCAATCAAAATTTATTTATAGATATGAACTCCCCCCCCCCCAAAAAAAAAAAACTACAAACACACACACATACAGGCAGTGGGAGGATGTTGATGGGGCAGGAGAGTGTCCATAGAATATTAAAGACTTCTGAATGGCGGGGAGATAGAGCGAGGAGAAATGAGAAGGTTCATGTATTTTCTATTTTGAGACCAACTCAAAGTTTGAATTCTGAAACACTTGTTTTCTCGTCGGCAAAAAGAAAATACAAACAAACACTTGATTTCTACTTGTAATTTTTCCCAAGCCATGGTTGACCTGTGCACGTGGCACACAAATGAAAGTCGACTGAGGCGAAGACCTAGTTCCTTTCTCATAACAACTCTAACCGTCCAACCTGCCGTGGCGCCACCCCATCCATCACGTCACTCCGTTCATAATTTGAGACTAAGGTGTTTGTTTGGAATCACTCATATAAACACTTGTAAGCGTGTTTTAGATAGTTTTTTTTTAATATATTTATCTCACATTTTATAAATTATTTAGTTGTTTCTAAAAGGGCTCAAAATCAACAATTTCTTTCTAACTTTCTTTTTTAAAAAATCTCAGCCGCCTGCTTAAATCCAAGTACCCTTATATAATGCCAATTTCAATTTTCAACTGATACTCAAAAAATTTAATATAATGTGAAAAACAATCTTTTATAGTATATTTTATATGGCAAGAAATGTTCAATGTCCCTTGGGTTGTTTGTCATGCGCAGCCGTGTTTCACGTGGATCCATGCCCTAGCACGCAAGGCTCAAAATTTATTTCATATTTTTATGTTGGTGCTCAATTTCAGATTTCAATCATGTTCCGCACCCAAAACGTGAACTATGTGATACTCTCTTGTTTCCAATATAAAATTTATTTTATAATGCATTATTTTTTGTGTGTTAAAATATAGGTATCCTCTTATTCGAAGTACTATTGGGTACTAAATATGAACACATCTTCCAGCGAAAATTCGTATTGTGAGATATTAGCTCCTTCCATTAGACTCAACTCTATTGATAACGTAATTTATATTTAAAAATGAGTTTTTTTTTTTTGTTAAAACATAGGTATCCTCCTATTAAAAGCAATTTTATTCGAGGTACTGTCCAGGTACTAAATGTAGACACCTCTCCCAATAAAAATTAAAATTTTAGTTCATCACGTTGTGAGAGACTAATCCTTCTGCTAAACTCAATTCTCGTTGGTAAAATATGAGTCTTTTTGTTTAAGAGTGGACGAGCATGTATTCAACCGTCTTATAAAAGCCCAAAGGGTCAGAGTCCAATCTGGCCGTCTCAAACACATTCCAAAACAGAGGGCTTCGTTTCCCACCATACTTTTTCCCTGCGATTCATTCTTGACTTCCTTCTTCTTCGCTTCTCTCCTTAATTTATATTTATATAACAGTGTTCCCTTGTATATCAGAAGGTAAGCTTGTGGGCCGAATGGAGAAGATGAAGATCAACCATGCGTGCTTTGCGATTGCTAAGGAGGGCGTTCCGATTCATAGTCAGGTCAGGAAAATCAAGCAAGAATTCCAGAAAATCCCCGATTGGTCGCCGGTGCAGCCCGAAATCCGACCTGTTATCCCGGAGTTAAGCCGCCACCGCCTATCCCGATCACCCTTGGGGATCTCGGGCTCTCCCATTTCCGTCGGCGACTCGTAGCCAAATAGACATGGATAGATAAATATATGGATTGAGAGAGGGATTTTTTTTTTTTTGGGTTGAGTTTATGAGGCTTTCCTGTTCTGTTTGTGAAAACAGAACATGAGATGATGTATGGGGTATAATCTGCTGGGTTATATAATTAGCATGGTTTTAGAAGATTAAATGTTGGTCTAGAAGAGATGAAGCTTTTGAATATCCTGCCCGATCAAAAGTTAAAATTAGTTAAAAAATCTGTTTAAAAATTTTATTAATCAGTAGAACCCAAATCTCAATAAGGGTACTGTGAATAAAATTCTTGAGAATATGATGCTTTTTGTAACGTAAGAGAACTTTATAACCAATACAATTTCGAAAGACTTTTCACTGATTTCTCCAAATCCCAGAGTTTAATTATTTAGTAGTTGGCAAAAAAAAAAAAATAGTAATCTCTTAAGCTCCTTTCATCAGAAATTCCTTATAGATAGGACTAAAAGAGTATACAGTTAAAATTTCAAGCCCACTTTTGTGCATAACATCCTTCCAATTAGGGGGTGCATGATTCACTGATATGGATTAGATATTTGAAAAGAGTTTTATTTTAACTTATATAAAAATACTTAAAAGGGAATGAATCCCAAACAGTCTCGGTCAGACGGTCAGCCAAGTTCCCAAAATGATACGGACGTAAACCCAACAAGGAGGAGTTAGTTTGTTGACGTGGATACCTAATGCTACATTCTTTCTCACATTGTCCAGACCCAAAGCACCCATCAAAAGTAAATAGTTGGGCCCTCAAAGCCCATAATGGACTGGACTCTGAGGCCCAATTCTCGGAATCGAGGATGAGAAGGGAGGTGGAGCAAGCACAAGAATGGTGTATGAAACCACAAAAGCTTCATTTGATACAGATGGAATTGGGTCTAATAAAATGAACTAATGCCTCACAAAAAGATAAATTAAGGTTTGAATTCTTATTGAGAAAAACATTCACACTTAGTGTCTAATAGTATCTTAAACAGGATTACCTTCAATAAGAAAAAAGAAAATCTACAAAAAAAAAAGACTTTTAAATTTCAAAATTTCAAATCAGAAATTATTACAAAATTGTATTATCATTTACTTGTTTAGTATAGTCATTTTTTTACAAGTCTAATAACTAATATTGATTTGAAATTTTGAAATTCAATAATATTTTTTTAAAATTTTTTCATAATAGAATACATGCATTTAGCAAAAAAAGGAAAAAACTTCATTCGTTGTACGTAACTTCTAATTCTACATGACCTTATCCTTTTGCAGGTACGTATGAAATAAAAATTTTAAAATTATGATCAATTGCGTCATCAGTGAATTCTGAAATTCAAAAAGAGAACCGTTAGCTATAGTTACCGAACATTCAATAAAGATAGTATGAAATTGCAATAACTTAATGTTTGCCTCGCGTCAGTCTTCAGGTATATCCCAGAACCAGAATAGATATCTACCTTGTAAAACTGGACTGTTATGAAATGTTACTATATACTCCTCCCACTCTTAATGTAACAGCCACTTAATTAATATGAATGGATTAAAAAAATAGATTAATTAATTAATTATAATAAATTTGACTTGATTTTCTTAAAATACCATTGTACAATATTATATTATATTTCAGTTTATAAGTTAGATAGATTTGTCCAATAAGAGATAGAAAAACGTATTAAAATCTTGTATTTAGAATTAAATTCAATATCCTGAATAACTTCTACATCAGGGACAAAATATAATCTTCTCAAACGTGATAGAAAATTGTAATCTTTGGTTGGGACTATCATCCTCAGTGTTTTCAGCAAGAAAAGAGAACATAAACACAAACATACAAGATTAACATCAGATAGTGATGGCTGATGAGTGGGATATATCTACATATACAGATAGATAGATAAACACCTTCTTTCTTTTCTGCTTTTTTGTGAAAGTAAAGTGGTAATTTTGAGTTGGATAAAGTAAATGGACGAAGAGAGAAAATCGGAGTAAAATAGAGAATCCCATTATGACAATCTTTTGCTTGTTGATGTAGTGAAAAAAGAAGCATAGCAGGCAATAATTTAGAGGCCCATTCATTGAAAAACCTTGAAAAGCTCATCGTACATGTTTATACATTTCTTTCACATTTGCATGCATTTGTGGCCCATGACAAGCATCTTTCACAGCACCCATTCCAAGGCACTCCTTCCCTTTTTCATATCTCTCTTATCCTCAATTATCACTCTTACAGTTGCGTATCTACACCAGCAACTTAGGAAGCTCTATCATTTGCAAGTTCAATACTCCTCCGATCTTTAATATAAGACTCATTTAACTAATTTGATTAGATTAAAGAAGTTAGGTAAGTTAGTTAATTATAAGAAATGTGACATGTTTTTCCTAAAACACCATAATCATCTTTCATAATACTCATCTCCCTCTTCTACTTAATTATGGTTGAGGGAGTATCCATAGGGGTAATTTAGAGAAAATTGATAAATATGAGAAATAGGTCTTATATTTAGGACCAAAACTAACTCAACAATTGGGTCCTATATTAAGGATCGGAGAAGTAATATGACATTGTACGTATTACACTTTGCTGGCATTTACTCTCTTTCATCTCTAAAGTTAGAAGGTGGATAATTAATTTATATGCATTGGTAAATTTATAGTTACATTATTAGTTACTTATATAATACGTGTGATGACTTCCTTGCCTGTTCTTCATCATCACTGAAACTACCCTCATGAATAGCAACCTGGAGTCATTTGGCTCAACTAATACTTAACATTTAGAACTTATTTGGAATTGGAGCCTTTAAAAGCAATCTTTCAACTATGATAAGTAGCTCTAAACAAGCACTTTCTTGAGTGTTGCTTAAGCATGAAATTGTGTGTTGGATTTTTTGTGGGCAATAAATGCATGAGGTCCTTTCGCTAAGTGAATGGTGGCCTAAAAAAAAAATTTGTATAAAAAACCCATTTGATATATGTGAATAATTTAAAAAATTTATAATACATTTGTGAATTAAAATAGTATATTTATGACTAAAACAAGCTATTACATTTAAAACAAAGGGAGTATTTTCCATCAAAAGACAACACTTTTGAAAGCACAAAATCTATTCGACCAATTGATTATCAATCTTTTTTTTGGGGGGGGGGGGTGAACAAAGTTAGAGGACCTTTTTCTAATGCGAACGTTAACGCTTGCAAATAAAACCCTAGTTTGTTATGGACAAGAATTATTGTTATACGTGGAAATTTTATTACTTTATTAATACTTTAAAAAAGAGCATACTTGCCACCAATTCTACAATGAGAGAGTACAAAATGGTCAATATGGAGAGACTGATTGACAGTTTTATTATTTACCTGTCAGGTATTATTGTAAACTGCTTGATGGTTAATATCATAACCATCAAATAAGTAATTGTATTTTGCAAATTTTGTATATAAAGACTATTGATCATGCTCTGAGTTAGGTCGTTATTATCAATAAAATTTTTAATGGGGACTTTTCTGCAGCTTTTCTAAGAAGTTTTTGTCAATAGTATTTCTTTTTCTATTAGTATAATAGTAAATTAATTAATACTAAGAGGTTATATACAAGTTTGAAGTTTCAAAAGGATCGATTCTTAAATTATGAGGTCAAATAATAAGTTGTTGTTCAAAGTCAATGAAAATTTTGGACACTTTCAGTATCTATATTAAGTATAGAATCTATAACATATCATGATAATATTTATGATTCATTTGTTAATTTCCCGACAAGGCATAAGTTCTACCTAATTAAGCCAATAAAAACATCGGTTAAGATATTACAAATAAAATGTCATATCGTGAATTTTTTTGCTAATATTTTATACCTTAGGTTCAGTGAAATGAGTAACTCAGCGTATTGCCTGCCTCTGATTGTCATTCTAAACATTAAAATACTTGTTTTAATTTAATACTAAGGAAAAACATAATTTTTAATCCCTAGAGTTGTGGTCAATTTAAGCAAGGTCCTTGTAAATTTTTTCATCAACTAATCATTCCTTAGAATTATGGCTAAATTTAAACATAATATGAAATAATGACATATGATGTGGCAATGATATTGGGTATATATTAACAAAGGCTGACTCTAGATTTAGTCATTAGAAGACTAAATTAAAATCTTATATAAAATTATAAGATTAAAGGTGCAATTTCATCTTAATTTTCTAATGAAAAACTGGAGAAATTTTAAATAAAATGAACATATACTTCAGAAATTAAATAGATGTTGTTGCTAATAACAGTTATGCATGAAAAGTATATGAAACCAACGTAAATACTGTGAGATATTTTGGGGAAAGCACACATGGGGAGATATATATATATATATATATATAATAATATGCTGTAGTTGAATAATGTCCTTAACTTTTTCTTTTTCATTATAAAGTGAATATAATCATTTATGTCCTGTATTTTGGTGACCAAATCACAGTGATGGAAATAGAAATGAACAAGGAAGTAACAAGGAAGAAACCAGAAATGAACAGTTTCTCTTTTGGAAAAGAAGTGTAAAGAAAGAAGACAAGGGAAGAGACCATTCATTAACAGCAAATGTACTAACAAAACAAAGCCTTCCCGTTGCTCGAGAAACCTATGAAGTGTTGCTTTCCTCCTTGAAAACAAGGCACTGCAACACACAAACCAACAAAAATAATCCCCAAATAAATAAATAAATAAAATTAAGCTTCTCTTTTTCATTTGTTTAGAATATATTACCAGTTTTAATTAAAAATGTATTATCTATAACATCAGAGAGTTGGTACAATTATGCTCAGAGTGGTTATCAATATATATGAACACGTTTGCATGTAAGGGTCGTTTCATTCAATTGGTTTCTCCAAAAAGAGAGAGCATCTCATGTGAATGACCTCATCTTCTACCTCAACAGTTCAGACTCCAGAGTGTACAACACACACACACACCACACACAATCTCAATTATTTATTTTATTATTTCTATATATTATTATCAGCGTATATGGGAGGGACAGAATCAGTATCACTGATTTATCTGCCATATATCGCAAAGCTAGGTTGAAGGCACTGTATCTTCCGCTCATCATCAGAAATATATAATTCAGATCTCAGAGAGAGAGAGAGGGGGAGGGGCAGTAAGTTAGTAATATGAGTGGTGAGAAAAGAGAAGAATATTCGACATCTGAGAAAGAGGAGAAGGAAGAAGAAGATATTGAAGAGAAAGATCATGAGATGCTCAAGAGCAGAATCTCTAACCATCCTCTTTATGACCTTCTCGTTCAGCAACACCTCAACTGTTTGAAGGTATTAATTATATTCTTAATCTCTTTTCATACTCTAAGCTACCCTCTTCTCTCACTAAAATCACACAAAAACCCAAACCAGTTCCAGATTTGATGTGATGCATGCTTCACAAAACCATTTCATTGTCGATCTCTTACTTAGAAATCCCTACTTGTGCATATAAAGGGGGGTCTTAAGTTTCTTTTCTCCTGAACCGTGTTTGAAACTTAAAGCTATATAGAAATCTTGAACTGGTTTACCTGAACCATAGTGTATGAATGGTGGAGTTTGTGTTTGCGTTGTTCAGGTGGGTGAGGTTTCCAACTTTGAAAAAGTGAAGAAGAAGAAAGAGAGGAATAAGAAAGCATCAATGAAGCAAAACTTGGGCATGCTTAGTCATTCAGAGCTCGATCACTTCATGGTAAATGTTTAATTAATGCTTTTGAATCTTAATGTACTGAAAAAAGCAACTGTTCATTAAATTAATCATAAGAATTAAACAGAAGCCTAGCTAGCTTACATGTTTGAAGACTGTGTCTGACTCTGATGTTAAGTCATTTAATTCTCTTCTGCATCGTGAATGCACAAGGGTTTTTACTCTGTGAGAGTGATATGCTTAGTTTCCTGGAAATATAATTGTGATATTTATACTTTGAAAGGCGCTAAGCTAGGTTATATGCCTAGGGTTAGTAGCTTGTGTTGTGCAGATACCATCACTGTCTCTCATCAGTGAGAATCGACATTATATTTCTTTTCCTTTTTGTTTCTACCAAAAAAATAACACTATTATATATGCTTTATTTTCCAATATTATATATTATGAAGGGACTTTAATTTATTAATTTCATGTGTAGCTCCAGTTGAAAAGAAAATTAACATTATTGTTACTTCAATGATATCAATAATCCGTTAATAACTTATAATACTTATATAATGCTTTCCATCCATGATATGTATTTCCTTTTTATAGTGTATCAATATTTTTTTAAATTAGCATACCATTATGATTACTTAGGTCATGTGAAGATTAATTTAGGGCCAAATTAACAAGAAGTTTAACCTAAGGTTTTTTGGTATGGAATAATAGGAAGCATATTGTGTGGCGCTAGGGAAGCTGAAAGAAGCAATGGAGGAGCCTCAAACAGAGTCACTGGCTTTCATCAACAACATGCATTCTCAACTCAGAGACCTTGCTGGATTAACCCTCTCTCCTTCTTCCTCTTCCTCTAACCTCCAAACACATCCTTGATTTATAGCATCTAAATCCCCTGAACGTGTATGTAGCTACCTATATATCTTTCTGCAACCATATATGTGAGTCTCACACTAGAGCCTCTCTATATATCTCTCCAGTTGAACAAGTATTTAGGCCATGTTTGGGGGTCCCTTTTAGCCTTAGGGGTCCCAAAATGGACATCCAAACACGTACTTAACCTATTCGATGTCCTCAGCTCCCTCTCATTGAACTTTAATTTAGAGCTGTGTAGTCATTTATATTGATCTTCTTCTGCTTTAAGTCATCCCACACCTTCTATCTCTATTGCTGATTAATCACTCCATGGCTATACAATTATACTTTATTGTTGTCCTCTTCTTCACCTCATCACTTTAATATTATCTAGTTCCTTTTTTCTCAGTTAATTTCTGGTTCCTAATTATTAATTATCAATGCATTATCTCATATATATATATGTATCAGTATTAATAATCAATGTGTTATCTCAGCACACGTTCACATCTCCTCCAGTTTTCAGAAATTTCCATTTAATAGTATATACGGGTGTGCCTGTTATTAATTAATTACTTCTCTAATCATATGTATAGGTCCCGTTCAATATGAGTTTCACCAGCTTTCCCATAATTAATTACTTCTCTAATCATATGTATAGGTCCCGTTCAATATGAGTTTCACCAGCTTTCCCATGTTTTGATATACTTACAGTTATACAGTTTTTGAAAGAGTAACAATCCATAGTCTATACAATATTAAGGCATTGGTCTTTGTGGGAGGAGCTTTGACTGTTTAAGCACAAGGTTTTAAGTTTCAATCTATATAATAATAAATAAAAGGTAAAATAATTCATTTATATTAAAATATAATAACGTGACTTATAAATAGGAACAATAAAAATATTCTCTCTATAACAAAAAAGAAACTCTCTCCCTCTCTGTCTTGTAAATAGCAATAGAGCAGTATATCAACTGAATTAAATTTGGATGTAATTTTTTAACGTATCTATATATTATCATGTTCTTTGGGGGGAAAAAATCAGCGTAAAAAACTAATTATGTGATGGATAGAAAATCATATTTCTGGGCAACAATTTACAATTAAACTGACACATTGAGATTAAATATCGTAACACACAATTTTGGTTAAGTATGTGTAATTCAGAAGACAGGCTTTGAATGCCATCGAGGGTAATGAATCCCAGTTATTGTTCTATCGGACTTCGCATGAGAAATGGCCCACAGCATGATTATTTGGGCTCGCTGCTGGTCCAATATGATCAATTTGGGCTTATCGACGAACCCAAAGCAAATATAAAAACTATGAAAATTCAATCAAATTACTGTTATTTTTTCCTTTTTATTTATTATAATTTAAATTTAGAGACATACAAGTGTTGTCTTTGTTTAATAATTGAAAATTCAAATTAAGTATAGCAATGTTAAAATACCACCATAAATTGAATAAGTCACAACCAGCCAAGCTCGATATTATATAAAGAAATTTTTTTGGCATAATAGCAACGTGCATAGGAGAACAAGTTAATATTAGTTCTATATATAAAATTTATTTCACATATTTATCAATTTTTTTCAAATGAACCCTATTGATATTTTTTAATAATAATGGAAGAAATTAAGAAAAATACTTATGGGTTTTTTTAAAAAAATCATATTAACTAATTTAATTAACTTTTTAATCTTCTTAAATTAGTTAATTAGGTTATATGTTAAGGACCGGAAAAGTATAATTTATTAACTTATATAATATCCCCAAACAATAATGTTTATTGTTTACACGTTTAATTAGGAATCATTAGATTGTAATTTAATATGTTATACAAATATAGTTTTTTTAAAAAAAATAAATAAAAGTCCTTATCTTATTCCTAAATGAAAACTGAGTTTAGAGATCCACTTGGCACATGTCAGTCACGTTACTCTCAGCCCTTGGCTGCTCTTGTGTTTGGCACCTTGTATAGTGCGTTTTGGGGGACCCACCACCTCCCCTGCCCAACGCTGCCTCATGCTGGGCCGAAGCTTCGGATTGATATTCATGTTAAAACATAGTTCTTATTTTATTGCATAAAATTAACATACAAAATATTATTAATTATATTTTTATTTTTAGTTAACACTAATATTTTATTTAAAACATAAGTTATTTGTCATTTTGCAGATTGCTTCCCTATAAAACTTGGAATTGAGTTAGTTTGGTTTATAACAATAATTAGAAAAATATGTGTTAATTATATTCAACCAAAACTTATTAGTACTTTCTAATATCCGAGGATCATGTTTGTATTTAATTTTATTTCTAGGCCAATAAATATCATTTTCTCTCAAGAAATTAGGGCTGCTCATATTATTATACGGATACTATATATAAGCAATGATTAAACACGCCATTCATGGAATAAAAAGAAAAAAATAAGTGGAAATTCATTCATAAAAATTCGGCCAATATGAATAGATATAACTAACTTAACTTACTTCCTTAATCTCTTTAAATAGTCAACTGGGTCTTATAATTAGGATCGGAGGTAGTATTAAGATATATTCATTATACACATTCATAAAGAAAATATAAATGAAAGGAGGAGTTTGCACGTTGGACGTATACGTTGATGCTGATACACGGAGGTGGCAAAATGATTAGGACATGTTTGGCTATATTTATTATGTGCACTTCCCTTTGCCCGTTTCCTAGACGATTCCCTAAACAATATTCTATCATATTCCTGATCACGTGGGACCTCCATACCCCCACTTATTTATTTATTTATTTATTTTCTGTGTCAAATCGAAAATACATTCTAGCCAAAATCACCGAATTTATACCAATGAACTAGTCATAATTTTATATGCGTTAAGTTTAAAACAAACTGTATTATATATAATTTATAAATCATATATCTTATTTTAAATTTAATTTATAATAGGGATAATTAATATATAAGTCCTTATAGTTTCAACTGGTTTTTAATCAGGTTCCTATCATTTTTTTTCTTTTTATCAGATCCTTATACTTTCATATATTTTTAATCAAGTCCTTATATATTTTTTTTCTTTTTATCAGGTCCTTATTGTTTTACTTTGTTTTTAATTAGGTCCTTCTAGTTTCTATTCTTTATTTTATAAATAATAACATTTTACAAATAATAATTATTGTAACAATCTTATGTTAATATTCTTAAATTTTTAGTTAAACAAATATATTATTTATTTTCAATTCAAATTTATAATTATAAAATTCAAATATAATAATAATTTATCTAAAATTAAAATATGATTATAATAATTTATATTTAAGCATAATTATTATTCTGATTATTATTAATTACTAAATGATATATATTAACTATTTGTCCAATTATATAATATTAATTTAAAAATGAAATTAATTTTAAGAATAAAGTAAGGGATAATTAATATATAAGTCCTTATAGTTTCAACTGGTTTTTTATCAGGTCCCTATCATTTTTTTCTTTTTATCAGATCCTTATACTTTCATATATTTTAATCAAGTCCTTATATTTTTTTCTTTTATATCAATCCTTATTGTTTACTTTTGTTTTTAATTAGGTCCTTCTAGTTTCTATTCTATTTTACAAATAAAACATTTTACAAATAATAAATTTTTGTAACAATCTTATGTTAATTTTATTTTAGTTTAATTTTTAGTAAACAAAATATTATTATTTTCAATTGTAACAATTATGTTAATAAATTTAGTTAAACAAATATATTATTTATTTTCAATTCAAATTTTATAATTATAAAATTCAAATTATAATAATAAATTTATCTAAAATTAAAATATGATTATAAATAATTTATATTTAAGCATAATTATTATTCTGATTATTTATAATTACTAAATGATTATATTAACTATTTTGTCCAATTATATAATTATTAATTTAAAAATGAAATTAATTTTAAAGAATAAAGTTAATAAATAATTTTCAAAACTACAAAGCACCTAATTAAAAAATAAGTGAAACTATAAGGACCTGATAAAAAAAAAAAAAATAGAAGGACCTAATTAAAAACACACAAAAGTAAAAGGATCTAATAAAAAGAAAAAATTTTATAAGGACCTAATTAAAAATCAAATGAAACTATAAGGACTTGAAGATTAATTATCCCATTTAAATATTACATATGCCCAATCGGGTCTGGAACCCGCCGGTAGAAGCGGGAAAAGACCCACGTAACGTTACACCCAAGGCTCCGCGTATCAGCTGCATGCCCGTTATAATTCCCGCCATATGTAACCGGGTTGAACCGTTCCAGAGTTCATGTACGCACATATACCAACGATTGAATTACACGCGTCCAACGCCGAGATGTTGACGGGGCTTCTATTTGTACTACGCTTGGCGGGTCCATCCGTCGGAGCATGTCTATCTCTCGCAATACCCGCCGGAAAGTCACCGGATCGCAACTGCAATATGGACGACCTTCAGAGCGTGTACAGCAAAAGTTCGCTTGTTTGTGGCCAACCTTGTGTTAGGAGTGAGGTCTGCGGCGGAGGAGAAGACGGTGGAGAGGAAGCGGCGGGGATGGGGAAGCAAAGGGACGGCTCCGGCAGCCTAATGCCAATTAATGTTGCGGGTGGTGACATTGCCGTGCAACGTCAGCCATTTGTGAAGACACGATGAGGTGAGGCGAAGGGAGTACGGGCAGAGTGATTTTACGGGCAGAGTGATTTTGAGGGATTTTTTTCTTTGCTAGTTAAATTTAAATTAAGAAGCTTTCATTTCTATTCTTTTAGATTAGAGATTCGTTTTCTAGAATCATGAATTTAAAATATATTTATTAGTAAAAATGTTAACTTATTAAAGGTAGATAAAGCCAAAGAATTTAGTTAATTTAGTGTTAACTTATCCAATTGATTTTTTAGTCATTGAACTAGCAATCTCATTCTTATTTAAGGGTTCATGTTATTAACTCCCTGATTCAAAACTAATAATCAAATTAACTTCAGTGAAAAGATATATTCGCTTCCAACTTTACTCGCAATTTCATAATAGCACCGAACAAACTAAACTTGTTGAAACATGAATCTCCAAAGTCGTATAACTAATTAAAAAAACTTGAAATAATCTTTGCATCTTAACAGAATTTACAATGAGAATGATTATGAAAATTGCATGTGGGAGGGCTTATCCAC